CATATCCTATCCGGCGCTGGGGGATTAATTTGACGTCCGTGATCTCTCGATTTCCGGCGGAGAAATGTTTACGGAACTCGGCCTCCGTGATGTTGGGGGGCAGGCCCTTGATAAAAATTCGGGAAGTAGACATGATTGTGATTATGAGGAGGAGAATGTCGTTAGGTAGGCTGAGTATCAAGTCATGCTGTTGGTGTCCGCCCGCAGACAGCCTGATGATGGTGAGGAGGAATAGACGAAGCAGCGGGTCAAAAAAAAAAAGTTTCGTTCTTATCGTGGTCGGGTATCGGTGCTGCCCCTTGGTCCGTGCATGCAGATGTCCTACATGTGCACTCTACTCTAACCTACCCTGGAACCTGCTTTTTTCGAAAATTCAAAGGATGGGCATCGCTTCGTGACAAAGAGCGTGTCTACGCGTGTTCGTGGGTAATCAAATTGTAGTATGGAGCGGCTTCGTTCTTTTTCTCTCGGATTTAATATCCTTAAAGGTCTTTCGTAGATGTTCTGGAACAGCGGATAGATTTGCCTGCAAAGCGCATATTTCCTGTGAGATTTCATCCCTTCGCTATATTACCACCCACATAAATTACTACACATAAACGCCGACTAAAACGAGAAAAAAACAGAGCAAAAAGCTATTTCTCTATTACTATCCTAAGGAGGAAATAATCCAAAATATAATGCCTTTTAGTGCATAATTACGGAATTCCATAGTATTGTTCGACAAACAAGTCGGCTAATTCACCATAGGCAGAAGTGGCTCATAATAGTAAATAACGTTTTGAAAGTCATCAATCGCATCGGTGAGATGGCCGAGTTGGTCATGGCGTCAGGTTAAGGTTACCTTAACACCAGCTTCCTGATGGAGCAATCCTCCTGGGTTCGAGTCCCAGTCTCATCATCTATTTTTCCACCTGGGTGGTTTTTTTTATACTTTTTTGCTACTTGCCCTTATGAGTAGGTATATACTAGCAATATTTATTTTTGACAGTGCATGTTATTCAGGACGTGAAAATACCGATTGGCCATATATTTCAAGTGTCGGTATACATGAGGCTATTTGTAAATTACTATCACAGTCGTAACCTGCTACTTCTGAGAGATTTTGGCCATAAATTAGTAAACATGCCGGCAGAAAGGATAGTCACATATTTTGACCACTATGATAATAAAATACATAACTTCTGGTAAAATAATACAGCATTACACCTTGTACTTACTAGGCAGGCATTTATCCACTTGCAGATTATTCTTTGGTGCTGGCTGGAAGCGTGATTTTTTTTTTCCTGGCCCCGATATCACGACCCAGTCGATATGGACTATGAAATGGGTAGCAATAGGGCAACGACCCCACAAATGGCCGGCGCCTCCTTCCAATGTGGCGCCCTGCGTTTTTTTTTTTGCTGGTTGTGCGCTCCGGCTCTCTGTATGAGAATGGATAAGAAGCCCCGTCGCCAACAACAACATCGGGTGAGATGGCCGAGTTGGTTATGGCGTCAGGTTAAGGTCACCTTAATAACTACCAGTTTCCTGATGGAGCAATCCTCCTGGGTTCGAGTCCCAGTCTCATCAAGCAGTTTCTTTTTGTCCCTTGAAGTTCCTTCATATTTTTTTGTGCGGCAATTACCTCAACCGCGAGGCGGTTTATGAATGACCACCGTGCTTTCCCCCTTCTTTATGCGACCTTGATTCTTTTTACACTGCATACTTAAGGAATACTTGCCAATATCGTCCCGTCAATCCCGTTGACACTTCGGCAGCAGTTGCTTACCTTGTGCTTTTCGACATTACACGGACCGTGTTGGAGTATACAGAGACCGATAGATTTTTATGAGCACTGTCGTGTTTCTTCCGGCTGTTCGTGGTTTGACCTTGGGAATGACTGAATACCCAAAGCTGCGGCTTTGGTATACTATATTTCATGAAACGCGTTCCATATGCCGCTGCAGACACAAGGCTGCGTCTCTCGCTGCGGGAGGCTATCCCACGCGTCATGCCGGATCATAGGCGATAAAGGCCGCCATACTCACCTTCAATACGGCTGGATCAAATTTCGAAATTTCCTTTCAACCCGAAAGTATCACGTGGAACACCTAGTCGCTGATGGGTAGTTACACATGAACTTGATTATCGGCGTTGGGATGCGCTCAACATCGGCCTCGACCCGGGCTTTTGCCATATATATGTATACGCGAATATATATCACATCACCCCGCAGGATTAAAGTAAGGAACCAAGAGAGCCTCGGGAAGTCCTGGTTTTCAAGTCCTACAGTGCTCTTCCAATCGTATTGGCCGGTACTTGTGCGGTGGCAGCAAGTGATTAAGAACACCGAGTCAACCCTGGCATTCATGGAGTCAAAGATCCGCAGTGACGGTTCGTAATATCTGAGGTTGTACAGGCAATATCAACGGTGCTTGGACTCGGCTCTGGCGACATTAGGAGCGCCGCAGGAGATGGCAGTTTTGTCTGGCTGGACGGCAACTCTCTGGCCGCGATCCTCGTTGCTGTAGAGTGCCAGAGGGGTGACATCTCTATCTTGGCGATTGTTTCTATTACCGTCATCGCTGAAAGACGCTGTCGTTAATCCTTAGAGTTCTGCCCTGCTTCTCTCTATGAAGAGGGAGAACAGTCTCTCTCAGTGGACAACAGCCGCACCGACTTGCACTCCAGAGTTCCCCTGAACATGATCTTTTGAGACCAGTGCCGACTACAAGTCTTGTCTCTACTGCCCATTTTCCCGAAGAGGATATATGCAATGTTTGGTCTATTGTTCAGATCGGAGTGAACTGCCTTCTGCAAGGTGATGAGGAGAGGCTCTTGGTACCTATTATCGTACGCGTCCTTATGCCACAAGAGATGGAGTAGACTATCCGACAATATCGCTCGCCCATATGATCTCGCCAACATATGCATCACGTTGAGGTCCACTGGCCAGCCCAAGGCCGAGGAGCCATGTACTCGCAAGGGCCTGGTCTCCTTTCAGAAGAACCTGATGTGTGGGAAAAAAACTGTTTTCTGTTCAACATGGATGGCCCGACGGAAGCGACATTTGGCGCAGCAATCAAACAACTGGCACTGAACGAGGATGCCAGACTTGGCCAGGCAAACCCGTCTAGCAGGTTATATACACTCGATCGCAGCCATTGTCTGCTATCGCCAGGCGCAGTGGGGGAACTGTGTCTGGCGGGTATCCGAGTATTAAATGGATAGATAGATCAGCCCATGGAGAACGCAAACCGATTACTCGCCGACTCCGTCTTGCGCATTCCGACAAGGAGAATGTACAAAACGCGCGACTATGCTAACTGGGATAGCGCCTTTAGAGAGACCAGCATTAACCGCAAAGATCGGCAGATCAAGCTGCACAGCTTCCGGTTTAACCTCGACGACTTGGAAGCGCTTAGTCTCAAAGCCATCCCTGAATTTGGAGTTGCTGCTATGCTCTTTCGTGACGACCATCTACTGGCAGAGTATCATATCCCCAGCACGTTAAGAAGTGCATTGGACGAGTTGGATATCAAGACATTCGTTGGCGATGCTCTAACCCCCTCACGAAATGCCCCGGAGAATCTTTGTGTTGCCGGAAATCTCTCTTACGGCGGCAGACAAACTGGATTATAAAAAGCTTGAGCAGATGGAATATGCCAGGGCTGAGAGGTGGTAGCCTCAACGGAAGAGGATGACGGTGACCGATATTAAAGTTGAGTGCTGTCCGCGATCTGATGGCTTGACCGAGAATACCCATAGACGGAGCTCCAGGCTTTGTGGTGCTGGGCGGACATTCTATCATGCAGTTACGGCTTGCGAGGTGAATCTCTTCCCTCATCCAAGCGACATTTTTCCATCAGAAGGGTCATCGACAACCCCGTCACCTCGGACTTGGCGTCCTCGGTGGACGAGTTAACGGAGAGAGACGGCTGGGGATCAAGAACGGTCGGTGTGGCCATCGCGTCCTGACCACAAGAGAACAGGAGTTGCCTTGGAAGGGTTCTCACTCCTATATTGCCACGATCAAAGAATTAAAGCATCACCACCGGCTCCTCCTGAGTCGACGCCGACCAAATCACAGCCGGGTTCTGGCAGTCTTGCCTCCCAGGTATCGGTGTGAAGAATATATGTTATATGTCTCCTTACATGAAGAAAGCTCGAGCTTCGCACTATGGCGAATAGGTATGCAAACATTGCCCTTGAGAAGATATCGCGGGCGCTCCACCATACAATGCATCAAATCGCGCTGGGCATCGTTTCCATGGTTTTACAGGCCGAGGGCCCGACCGAGCAAGATTTGATCCTGGGAAGCCCCTACCTCGGAAGACAAGAGGAGGATATGAGCACCGTCAGGCTCTTTTCCCGCAACCATTGTCAATCCGCGGCCCGAGGCGGTCGACAATGGATGACGAAAGAGCAGCCAAAGGCACCAAACCACTCGCTGGGCAGTTTACAAACATTAAGTTGAACCAAACACAATTTGTTTAAATATGAAACCGGGTTAGCGTAGGAGATAGATAACTCCGCCTTATTTCCACCCACCATGTTCAACTCCGTCTTCATCTCGAGTCTCTAACGTTGATATACTGACAACCTTCGGCCGATGAAACGATGGGCATGGACCATGTCATGGTAGTTCCGGTAATTTTGGTGTGTTTGCATATGGACGAGGCTGACAGGCTTCACTGCATTGTTGCCGCTTACACCACTCGGTGCAAAGGTTTTTGGCGTTCTTTAGCTCAAGGTCTATTCTTAGATGACCGGAGTAACTGGCTGCAAATGTTTCCCTAATTCCGTGACGGCACTCGCGCCCTTGGAACAGGCCGCTTCTATGGCTGCTGAACTCTATTCCTGCAAAAGTCAAGATCGGTATTTAACCTGGCAACCGCCACTGCTCCAACGCTGATGCAACGTTTATACCTACCCAAAGGACAGACACAAGATTCCAGCAAAATCATCATCAACTTCGCTTGGCATTAGGCTCTCCCTCAATCATCAATATACACACAATGAGCAAACTCCTCGTGGTATTCGGGGCCACAGGTAACCAGGGCGGGTCGGTCATCAACTCGGTCCTCGACGATGCGACTCTTCGCCAGGAATACAAAATCCGAGCAGTAACCCGCGACGCATCCACGGCGGCAGCACAGCATCTCCTGCAAAAGGACATCGAGGTCGTCACAGGCAACGCCGACGACACACCATCGGTCGAGAAAGCCCTCCAAGGCGCACACACAGTATACTTTCTCACCGCCACCATCTACGACAGCATGCTGCAAGAGCGAGAGATTTCGCAGGGTCGGCGTATCGCCGATGCCGCCGTGGCCGTGGGCGCAAAGTATCTCATCTTCAGCACGCTGCCCTCCATCAAGGAGAACTCGGGCGGCAGGTATAACAAGGGAGGGCATTTCGACTGCAAAACCCAGGTCGAGAAATACATACGGACACTGCCGGTCAAGAGCGCCTTCTTCGCGCCGGGCTCCTTCATGCAGAATTTCGCAACAAACCTGCGGCCCAACGCCACCGACGATGGCACCTACGTGCTCGCCACCGTTGCTTCTCCCGCCACAAAGTTGCCGCTCATAGACATCACCGAGACGGGCAAGTACGTCTCTGCGATCTTGGCGAACCCGGACGCGTTTCAAGGCAAAACTCTCTGTGCGGCCACGGGGCTGTACACAATGGAGGAAATCGTGGGCATCATTAGCAGGAGTACCGGCAAGACTGTTGCTTACAGGCAGCTGCCGGAAGACGCGTTTCGGAAGTTCTTGCCTCCAGCCATGGGGGATTACATTGTGCATATGCTGTTGTATATACAGGACTTTGGATACTACGGCGAGAATACGGAGGAGCTGGTGGCTTGGGCGGCGGGCCAGGCTCGGGGGAAGCTGCACAGTTTGGAGGACTACCTCGCGGAAAACCCGTTGGAGCTGAACTAGGCGGCGTTGTATAATCTGTAATGAGAAGGAGTTGCTGATAATTGAAGAGGAGAAGAAAATAGAAAAAAGAAAAAAAATCAATAGCGGTGATGCCCATACAAGCCATCAGACTCCATCCCAGTTCCCGTGTGGAGACGCGGGAGTTGCCAGGATTAATGTTCCTCAATGTTCGGCTGTTCGTCCCACATGGCTCAAGCCAACTTGGAGCTTTGTTTACTCGCGCCGTCCAGCTCGAGACCTTGCCATCTCCAACACAACAACGTTGAATACAACAACCGACATCCCGCCTGTGACCGAACGATCCAGCATCCAACGCCATCCCGCCCCGACCATCGCGGCTACCGACCAGTGCGTGTGTCCCCTTTACTGCAACTCCGTAACGCATCTGCCCATTACACAAATAGGGGTCAGTCCTTGGTCCAATGTCCCCAAAGCTCAAACCTGGCCTATGCATCACGCCTCCCTGATGGCAAGACTCCAACCGCCCGAATCAGGGGGCATGCACACTTTCCGAAGGGCCATTTAGTGCTGAGACTCTAGCACAGGAACACGACGCGCAAAACGAAGAAGAAAAAAACACGCGACGCGACATATCCCCCCACCTTGCGTCGAAATGGCGGACAAGCAGGCAGAAACTCCCGCTCCCCGGGAGAAGCTCGAAGGTGCGACGAGCCCGTCCCCAGTGATGGGACCCTCGGATCCCCCGCGGCGCCGGGCGTTGGAAACCCTTGCTAACACTCGACGTCAGCCCAGATCAAGTCGGCCGACATGGTGAGGAGCGGGCGTTCGACGACAAGAGGCCGAACGGCGAGCTGACGGGTGCCAAACAGACCGAGGACATGCAGCAAGAGTCGATCGAAGTCGGTACGTCGGGGGGCACGTCGCAACAAGGCACTCTGGCACGGGATACTGACGACGCGTAGCCCAGGAGGCCATGTCCAAGTTCACCATTGAAAAAGTATAGGCAACCGAGCAAGGTCCATCACCCCCGGGGCGCATCTTTGTTAATACGTACAAACACCACAGGACATTGCCCAACACATCAAGCGCACAGTTGGTCCAACCCCCTTGAATCCCGCATCGCCGCGCTACCTACCCGGCCGTTGTTAACGATGCGCAGTTTGACGAGCGAAAGGGCCCGACTTGGCACTGCATTGTTGGCCGCAACTTTGGCAGCTTCGTCACCCACGGTTCGTCATGACGGCTCCCCCCCCTGAAGCGAAATCAACTGACTTGTGGCAGAAACCAAACACTTCATCTACTTCTACCTCGGCCACTGTGCCATCCTCCTCTTCAAGACGCAATAATGACGACAGTGAACGCGACGACGACGACGACGACTACGATTACTACTAGCCAGACGGACGTCTTTAGTACCATCACCTCCGCCGAGCGTCTACGATGAATAGGGAACCATGGGGTTTCGGGAAATTTGCCAAGCGACCACGGTGGGAAATCTTGTGTGTTTGTGTCGGGAGCGGGACTTGTCGAACCGGCGCGGGCAGTGATTAATTCGCCAGGATAGTACTATGAAGAGGGGGTAAAAAAAAAATTCCATTTGCCTTGTCTCTAGTCATCGGCCATCATGTTGCTTTTTTGTCGGGGCTGTGTTTTTATTTTGCGGGAAATGGTGAATCAGCCGTTGCGCAGTTCTGCTGATTCTGCCAGGTGCCTGATTTCCAGACACGCTTCGATGCCAGATCCAAAGCTCTGACGATGCTGCTGCGCAGAGAAACAAACATGTCCAAGGATGAGTCAGGGAGATGGATTGTACAAGAGGGCCGTGAATCGAAGCTGTGCAATTTGTTGCTAGTCTGGCTAATTTTTGCCATGCTCTTGCAGAATACACCCGTCTTGGTAGTATATACTGCGAGCTTGTCTTGCCAACGGCCCTGCGGTTGTCTGGTGTTGATGCCCGACCTACTACGCAACACGATACGCCCATCTGTCCTGTCCGTCTTGTCGTGCTCGCTCTGTTCCTTGTGCACGAGTCGACGTGTTTGTGGTCTGCATCGTGTCTTGTCTCAATTACAAGACGAGATAACGGGCTGCGATGCCCACGTCAAGATGAATGTCAAGCCGAGTTCCACCGGTTCCCCTCAACACCATCGTACAGGAACAACAGCGTGTATCAGTTGGCCAACTTTGAATGAATTATACGTGGCCGGCATCTTTCATCTCGCTTCACACTTGGATGCCCGGCAGCGCCGTCCTCCCTTCACCACAGTATTGCCTGTCCCCAACGCAACACCACGCCGTTGATGCCAAACATGACCATGACCATGACCATGCGCGCGTGGGAATGTGCTCGACAGATTCATACATTGAGCATAATTTGAAAGCTAATGAATGTCCCCTCGGGCCCCCGATGCAACCCGCTCCACCAGCGCCGCACACACCTCGGCGTATATGTACATACAGATCTCAGATGCACCCCTAGCTAACCGCACATGCACAACATTGTCAACCGCAACCTCCGTGGCAGCCATCTCGTCCTCGACAATCGCGTGACATTTCGCTTGGCGGCTTTCTCGTACCGACTGATGTTGCTGTTTTTGCATTTTGCATCACCGCGCCGTGCCACGCCGTATATCCGCGCGAATACGCCCGTCGTGCGACTATTAGTGGGCCGGGACGTCGACGAAATATCGATACGTAAAGAAGTAGTATCCGCAACCGGGAAACACCGCTCCCGCGACACAACGCCAGAATCTAAATACTGCCTGTATGTATGTATGTATGTATTTCGCCACCGGCGGGGAAATACACTCATGGCTGTACATACATACAATGGATATACTTTATGTATGCATGTCGGGCGGACCCGGTACGGAATGCGTTGACGCAGGTGGATATCGATACAACGCCTTTGTCCATTATCCAGGTGTAAGACAAGGAAACGTGATGAATCACTTTTTTTTAAAGAAAAAAAAAAAAAAGAACAGCCATGGAAACCGAAACCTGTTATCCCCGCTTCCACCCCACGTCTTGCCCAAGTGTAGCCGTGGAACAAGTAAACTGTCCCCGGGCGATATAACATGTTCACAACGTTGCTCCTAGCGTGGCAAGGTCGATCTTTTATTTTATTTATTTTTTTTTTTATCAATCTTTGCTCCACCGGGAACGACAGGCATGGGAATGGTTCAAGGTTCACGTACATATACATGTTCATTGGGAGGAGGGCAGAGCGGGGTGTATGAAGACGGTCCGGATGGCCCTCAGCCTTCCAGATTGGATCGACAATTGACGTCTTTCCATGGCACGCTCCAAGAAGACTACTCTCTGCATGGCCAACTTTGTGCAGTTCGCACATCCCCCCCCCCCCCCCCTGTTCCACTTTTTGGGCCCCCCGCCCTTGAAGCTTCTGGGGTGGTGGTACTGGGAGAAACCTCAACACCAATAGCCGAATGCGGCAACCCAACTGCATACATGTACATATGTACCCATCTGGCGATGAAGGCCTGCGGCGGGATAGGCTGGTCGACCACCTTCCTGTCGGGAGAAAGTGGTCGACAATTGATGGGTGGGCGAAAGCAACCAAGGCCATCTGAGGAGGCCTTTATCTGTTGATAAGCGTGTGGCTTGCCATGATGATATTGGTGGCGGACCAGAACATGCCACTCGTCTGCATTCGAAACACCCTGGTCAGTATTGAATTGGTGGCCAAAGTGACCCACGAGAATGGGCAAATGGTTGCGTGGTACTCTGTATTATGAGTGGTTTTGTGTGGTTATATATTCCCCCGGTTTAGAGGCACAATGAAGCGGTTCATTCCATGTTGCCTTTTCACCACCAGCTTCACCCGGGCAGGTGTTCAGAGTACTCGTCTGTCAGAGAGTGTTCCCTGTGATGAATACATGGGGATATAAGAGTATTCACGGTGAGCCGCAAGCAATCACAGCGCTAAGTGTTGCGCACTGTTGGAACCAAGGAACGCGCCCCAAGCGACGAAAAAGGAATTCCGAAAAAGCAACTGCTATCCAACATGCTGCGGAGGCGAGGTAACCTTTGGCTTCCAGCCACCCACGTACCTGTCCTCCGCCAAAAAGACGAGTGCTGATGATTGGGCCAATGGCTGCTCTGCTTTGCCTCCAGGACCAGGGCAACACCGCCGCTGGCCTGCAACGGGAAACCTCGATGAGTCTTGGGTCGCAACTAGCCGCCGCCTATTCGATAGTATATTGTACCGAGTACCGAGTACTCCGTACACGATGGTACTAGTCTATGGCGCCCTTGTTGAGTTGTGGTGCGGTGCAACTCCAAATCGGTCATCGCATAAGACAGCCAGCCCGGCCGCCACCTGTCGACTTGACGAATTGGCGAATTGGCGGCATGATGGGGTCGCCGTTCCAGGCACACGCACCGGCCTTCCTTCTGCGTCCGAGTGAAATGGACCGATTACCCGGCATCCAACCCAACAGCCATGAGGTGAGATGATGCTCGCTTCTCCATATCCCCCCCCCCCCTAACCTTGCTTGCTTCGAGAATATTGCTGGCTTTGTGCTGCACCTGTGCCGAATCTGATCACAACCGATTTGCTTCGACATTCGTGATCAGACATGGTGCGCCTTTGCCCGGTCTTCTTTCGCAGTGTCTCGCAGTCACTAGTGACGTCGAGCGCAGGACGCCTTACCCGATTGGCATATACTCTGCAGCGGCTTCGTCCGGACAGTTCAAATGTTGGGATTCTCTCGTGTGGCGTCCGTCAACTGGACAAGCAATAAGCACGACGGACAGACTTACGACATGCCTCCGACATGCCATCCGCAGTTGTATGTACAATGTACAGTCAGTGTCCCAACATGCACCCGACTCCGACACCTGCATGCGGTCAACAAAAGACGTCAGATTTGTTTCTGTTGCAGACATGGACAACTTCGTGTCCTTACATACGTCAGACACTGACATGGGCAGTTGCTAATGCCCAGCCACAGCGGAGCCACCAGACGCTTGTTACATGGGAGGATTGAACGGTTATCAGGGTGATAGTAGTAGATCATGCTCCGTACTCCGTAGGTTGGCAGGGAAAATGGGATTGGATGCGATGCTCCTGGTGTGCGGCGTGGTGCGGAATGTGACCAAATGACAGGCAACATTCGTCCCTCCAGCCCAGCTGAAACACCTCTTGTTCTCTGCTTCTTGTTTCACGGGATGTTCGTCCAAGGTCTCACTACCCTGCATCCTGCCAATTATTAATTATCCGTGGGCTCAAGGGTTGTGCGGTGGGCTAAACCACACCATCTCCTGTTCCTCTCGACAAACTCTCGTAGATGTATCAACCCCTAGTACATGGCGTTGGCTGCCAATTAGGAGCTCCTTGCAATAGTGCTCTACCGCTTTCTTGTCTATGCTCGAGACTCTTCAACATTGGCGCATGTGGGTCCCCAATGGCCATTTTGTCGGACAGCGAGATGAATGTGGAACAAATACGTCGCCAGGGCGCTGCGGCAAAACGACATGTCTTGGATAAGCTTCGAGTTGCGAAACTTTGTGATCGCGCGCTTATATCTTCTATGGAATAGTGCCACGCCAGGACAAACCGAACCGTTCTGCCTTTAGAAGAACCTCGTTGACCCGACAAACACAACATGGCTATTTGCTTGTGTATGCAGGAGGCAGCAAATGTATTCGACGCATTGAGAAATTTCGCGTCTCTCAATGCCCTGTTCGGTCCTGCAATAACCAAGGTTGTTAGCCTCTTCCCCGTATATCTTGCTAGTAAGAGTTATACTTTGGAATGCAATGCTCAGAAACGGTTTACAAGCAAGGAATAATCGGCGACATTCTCCTTGCCCCATCGGTTACTCCGGATTATTACCATGTCACTGTCAAGCAGTCTCGTACATCTCATCAGTGCGTCGTCAAAGGAGTGTTTCAGACAGGTACTCCGTACATCAGCCAGATCGAGCATATGGGCGTTTCAGGCACGCAGGGCAATGGAAGATCGTAGGACCCTTGATTTCTTGGCGGACAGCACCCCCTTCACTGTCACCAGTTTTCGTGGGCAAGAGTGGGCAAGACTCTGTTATAAAAAGGTAATGGGCAATAACTTCACCTTGTTCAAAATGAGCTCAAATGATCAGCTAAGGAGGTTTCCACGGTATATAGGACGGCGGTGTCGTCCCATCATTGTATCGTATGTATGTATGCTGACCGAGAAGATACCAGGCTCCAACTAGAGGTGTGGCTGGCCAGACTCCAGAGTAATTAATTGGTTGGTACTCCGTACTCCGCAGTTAGGTGCAGGCTTACCATGCGAGCCAAGAGCCAGGTTGCCAGGAAATCGTCTTGGTGTTGCGGGCACACCATGCCCCACGAGGACACCATTGAAGATGCAAAAGGTACCCCAGTGGTACTTGACATGTAAGGTGTGGTCCCAAGGCATTCTCTGGTATTGCTCAGTGTCTAGTGATTTCCTGAGTTCAGTGAGGGATGAGGTCTCAATAGGTGACAAGGTACTTAGACCAGGCTTCAATGGCCTATGGCAGTCTACTCGCCTCTTTGCGTTTTTCTTAGCAACGCGTGCGGCGCACAAAGTAAAAATGACAAGTAATAAACTGGTCGAATTCCGACTTGTTTGGCTGGTCAAGATGGGCTGTCGGGCAGGCGGGCTATCGGGAGACTTGTCGACCATGTAGAAGACCATTGCACCTGGTAGATGAGTTTGCCTTGGCGCGAACTTGAACGAAGTGAGTCCGAAACAGCGCTGCTTTTACCCTGAGCAGGATACCGGTGGGGCGTTGTGCTTCCTGAGCGGTGTACATTTTCAGCCACCCTGCATAACTTTTAGCTTTTTATACTATCTACCGTCTTGTGGTGCAATCGACCTCTTGAGGCTCGGAAATACTCTCTTAATAATATCTACCGTGTTGGCCTTTGTGGTTGACCTGTGCATTTAAACCTTACGATTGACCTTTGTGCTTGACCTGTTTGGTTCATCCGTACTGCTGAACTCTACGATTGACTCTTGCGGTTGACTCTTGTGATGAAAGTGATGGTCTACCTATTTTAGCTAGACCTGACCTAGAACTTCTATTGTTGCCAGATTCTCTGCTGGGTAAAGCTGTTGTGATGCGAATCTCTACGTTCGAGGTTCGGTTTCTCTCTCCCAATGATATCTACCATTTCGTATTTACAGAAAACGGAGCAGCTACCGTTCTACGTCTTGACTTTATTTGAAGGTTTGCATGTCTCTTGATGGTCGCCTATTATTCGCAGCGCGCTACCAATGCTTGATAGCACTTTAGCTATCCTCGCTGCATGGCTATCCTCGCTGCATGGCTATCCTCGCTGCATTCTAATTGCTTATCTGCTGAAGTCTTGACCTCAAGTTGCTAGGACAGCTGCGCAAGGCCAACGCGTATTGAATGCACATGTGAGTTCCTACGTCTCGTAGCACTATGGCGGGTTGCGGCCAGAGAAGCTGTAGCACTATTGACGATATCTCGTAGTGCTACAGCGAGGGTATCAACGGGTCTGGTGCTTCAGCTACCCTTTAGCGTGCATTGGGTGCACTCGACCGCCCGCTGCCCCTCATTGAGGGATGTGTACCTAGTATCTCTTTAGCTGCCAACTGGCTCGCGGGGCCTCCTCTGCCATACAATTTTCCTAGGTAAGTGAGTCTCCACGAGCCAATCGGCAGCTAAAGAGCTATATAGGTACTAAGGTGGGGTAGGGGAATTGAGTCACTCTACTGGCAAGAAAAGCAAGAAAATTTAAAGCGCTTCAATGTTATCTTCCCCCTTCAACTCTCTCCTACTGCCACATTCTCCTGCTGCTATCGTCTCTCTGCGCTTCTAATCCACGCCGTGCAAGATGTCTGACAACAAACGAGTCTGCCTGTAAGAGATATAATGTTTGATTTTATGGTGCAACTTGAGCTGACCTGACCTGTTCCAGTGCCTACTCTGGAGGTGCGCGCTACCCTCGCTGATCTCCACCCACCACACTCTCCGACCTCTGCTCTCCGACCTCGAATCTTTTGACGAATTTTAATACATCACAGGCCTAGACACATCCGTCATACTCCGGTATCTTCGCCTTGAGGTCGGTTTGTTTCGAGACTTGTTAACTTGACGATAGCCTCACTTTTTGTCTTCAACTCTGCTTCACATGGCTATTTTCCCTCTCTCCTTTATCACCCTATACTACATCGTTCTTCCTCTCATTATACTGCTTTTTACAAGTGTTTTTGGCTGCGAAGCATAGCAACGCTCTTGTCGGCTGTTTTTTCTCTCTGTTTTATCACCCTGTACTGCACCAGTCTTTCTATTATTACAACTCGACGAAGGATACAGGAAAACTCTGGAAATCATGTCGCTAATGTATTCTGTTTATAGGGCTACACCGTGGTTGCTTATCTCGGCAACGTCGGCCAGGACGAGGACTGGGCCGCCGTCGAGAAGAAGGCTCTGGCTCTCGGTGCCGAGCGCATGGTGATCGAGGACCTTCAGCAGGAGTTCCTTGAGGAACTTGTTTTCCGTGGCATCCAATGCAATGCCATTTACGAGGACCGATATCTTCTCGGAACTAGTCTTGCCCGGCCAGTATTGGCACGCGCCCTCGTCCGCACCGCCCAGAAGTACAAGTGCCAGATTCTCAGCCACGGTTGCACTGGCAAGGGGGTGAGTCGAATCTACCTCCCAAATCTTTACCGGATCTCTACTAATTGCGAGTAGAATGAGTATGTTCTTGCAAAAACCATGGCCCTAGGTAGATGGCCACCCCATTTATATATTTGGTCCCCTTGATGGTATGGCTATACTAGGCCAGCGGCAGAGCTGCTGGTCAGGAGCAGTACTGGCATTTGGTCAAGGTCCACAGCTAGCCTGCGCCAGCAATGATGGAGTTTCGGCCTTTGCCGTTGCTGCGGTCGGTCTGACCTTCGCAGCTAACAATGATGACCTTCCGGGATCGGCTTCACTCCCGTCTCTGAAGGTTTCCGGGACCCACACGGCGCCCGGGTTTCTCAACTCCATCAAGTGGTCAAAATACAGAAATGGGATGACCATCTACTCAAGGTCAAACATCACTATTGTACGGAAGCTAATATTCATCCAGCCAGGTTAGGTTCGAATTAGCTTGGCGAGCGCTCGATCCTACTATGTCTATCATCGCCCCGTGGCGCATGCCGAAGTTCTTCAACCGCTTCCAGGGCCGACAAGACCTCCTGAAGTTTGCGGCCGAGAACAACATCCCAGTTTCGTCCTCTCCCAAGTCTCCCTGGAGTCTCGATGCCAACCTGGCGTAAGTAGTCTTTCAAACTAGAAAGGGAGTTCTCGAGGCTTGTCAACTTGACGATAGCCTCCCTTTTTGTCTTCCTCAACTATACTGCTTTTTACGGCTATCTCTTCTCTCCTTCATTACCCTCTACTTCACCTTTCTTCCCTTTACCATGAGGGAGTTCAAGTAAAACTAACAAGTATACAAGACATACCTCAGCCGAATCGGGCATCCTCGAAAAGCCCGAGATGGTTGCGCCCAAGGATGTCTGGACCAAATCTGTTGGTATGTAATATACTGCACTGGCTCCGGTTCACCGCGGTAGACTCCCGAGCTAATTCTTGCGCTACCCAGATCCGCTCGATGCGCCCGATGTCCCGACCAAGTTCTCTGTCACCTTCAAGGCTGGCATCCCTGTCAAGCTTGATGTGGAAGGCGGTGAAACCTACACCAACTCAGTCGCACTCTTCAAGAAGCTCAATGAGATTGCAGGCGCCAACGGCGTCGGTCGACAGGATCTCGTCGAATCTCGGTATTTTACCATCCCCGCCGCCACCATCAGCCCCCCTCCCCCCAAGACCCGAACTTGTACTGACAATATCGCAAGCTTCATCGGATTGAAGAGCCGAGGTTGCTACGATGCCCCAGCCCATACGGTGCTGCGTCTAGGTAAGTGAGAATTCTACCCTTCTACCCCTCAATCGATGATGCTAATAACCCAAAGCCCACGTTGATCTCGAAGGTATGACCGTGGACTCCAAGGTTCGCGGAATTATGTCCTGGATCGGAAACGAGTGGTCCCAGTGCCTCTACAATGGTATATCTTCTTTGGATGATCTTGACGGTCCTGTCTTACAAATGTCTTAGGCATGTACTTCTCCCCCGAGCGTGAGCTCCTCGAAAACTCCATCATCTACAGCCAGAAGCATGTGAATGGCACAGTCAACATGATGGTATACAAGGGAGCAGCTCATGTCCTTTCCCGCTCTGCGCCGGACAGCAACCTATACAGTGAGGAACAGGCTAGTATGGATACTCTCGAGGGATTCAGCCCAGAGGACACCAGTGGCTTCATTGCCATCCAGGCGATTCGCCTGGAGAAGTATGGCGCGGCCAAGATCCAACATGGCGAACCCCTGGTTTAGGGCGCATAGAGGAGCCGCTGCCTTGGCCTCTCTCTACCTTGATGAACGGGGAGGAGGTTTATAGAGTGCAAAAAGGAGTGCTATGACTTGGGTGCAATTATCCTAATTCAGGGATACAGATGCAGTCAGAATTTATATAGCGGGAACTTCAAATTGGTGTATGCAGTCATGAATTACTGAATACATGCGCGCACGCACTCGCTACATCGTAGTCGGGGAATCATATAAGAGTTACAAGCGACGTGGTGCGAATGGTGGTTGTGTTAACAATCCTGCTTGGCTGGGTAAGGAAATAAGGATCGAAGGTGGGCTGTTTGCACCCTGGGTTTAGTTAGATTAAAGTACTTACCGTATGGGCTTGCACAAACTTGCATAAAGCAGCGCGCCAAGTTCCCTCGCTCGGAAAACCCCTATCAAATGGCTGAGCCGACCCTGAGCAACAGCGGCGAAAACACTAAGCCGAATATGGTCGGCTCCCACACCTCCCAGTAACCTGTCACCTGACGCAACAAGAGCCGAAGAGAGTACAGATGCTGGAGGGGGGGTGATGAGAGCGGGGCAGGCACTGAATCTATCGCAGGATTAATAACAGACAGGCATGCCAAGGTGAACATTGGGTGCTTGCTTTCTCCAGGAGGATGTCAATGTGTTTCAAACCCCGAGGCGCGTTGCTCGACATCTCCCTCAGGCAATCGGGCTAACTACTACTAGCTCCAATTGGCGTGCCAAGGAGGTTTCCTCCAAGAGTTGGTGCAGAGTCGGGTGAAGGGATCATTACTCGGATTTGTAAAGTATGTTTCGCACGTGTGGAAAGACGTGGTGACTGTGACGGAAATAAGAACTAAAAAGGCGATTGGATGAATGAATACTCCGTACATTTTAGAATACAGAACAATACGGCCAGTGATGGCTACGATCAAGGGCACAAACGTTGGCCCTGGCTCGAAGCTCCTGCAAGGGGTCAGATGGTCAGTCGGCAACGACTTCAGGATCTGAGTGGAGCTTGGCCCTGTTGTATGTACATATTCGACGGTCAATACAACTGTATGGGTAACGTGCATTCTGGGCAACTACGCAGCAATCGTTCCTGCTTTTCCTTTGTCAGACCAGCAGCAATTTCTGGCGTTCTATGCACACACACCGCTGTATCAACGACATTGTTTGCTTGTGCATGAAGTGTGCAATTGGATCGCCTCCAACATGAACGTGGCCGGCCAGTGCTAGTGCCCGGCGACATCGCCAATTAGCCGCAACCACGTTCGGATGCGAGGCCCGGCCAGGGACGTCCTTGTAGTACGGAGTACATACAGTATGGCACCAGTTCTATAGCGAGGCCGTCCCACTCGACTGATGGGCTCTCCCCACGGGCTGGCTGCAGCGTAGCCATCTGGCTCATGTTGAAGACGAAGGGCACCCCGCCAGTTGTGCCACAATTCAGACCGTCCGCAATAGTTTCAACCGCTGCAATTACAACAAAGTATCGAGCTGGGGCATCGACCGGGTGGATGAAGTACTATTGCACCGGGCATGGGCTAGTGGTGAGATATGGCCTCTAGTCATTATGTACTGCGGTCGTCTGCTCGGACTGTCCTGCCCTCTGTTCGGCCATGAACAGTACAAGGCTTGTACTTGTTGACATATATTAGGTACCTACCTGGGTATATCGTACTCCGTACAATATTAGATCAGCCGAAGCGAGTCCTTGACAATAAATTTGACCTCAGTGCCTTGTGGATCCACGGCTTGAGCCCAAAATAGGCTCAAGCCTGGCCGTATCGCCGGTCTGGGTGGCCAAGGCTTATTCACGCCGAGGACAAACTCGGGCTTGTGCCAGGCTTTGTGTTTGTCTTCCTGCGCAAGAGAGGAAGCAAAGTTCGTCCTTTATCCTATTATATGCATCATGGCATAATCATAATCGCCTATGATTGCATCCGGGTTGCCGCAGCGAAAAACATGTACCCACCCTCGTCAAGCATAGTCCATGAGAACATGCTGGCGAAGCGATTAAGCATCTGGCAATAGAAAACAAGCTCCGGCTGAACGTGCAGCCAGGCTCCCCCCCAGCTGGTTAGCATAAGGTACAATACCATCATCTCAACTCGGCATATCTCTTTTTGTTTCATCTAGCGGCGGCATTGTCGGGTAATTAGTGACATACGTCAATTGGTGTGATGCTTGGGCCCAACCCGACACACTCGCATCGCAAACATATCCCTGCTCAGACGTGGTCTCCAAAGACTTGCGGAAGAGGCATAAGCTTCTGTTGTTGACTTTCTTTTTACACCTGCCTGGGTTGTTAGCATGGCTGGGCTCGACGGCATCATCATGATCTATTCAGGTCTGGCACTTCAAGATTGCCTATTCTTGTCCCTTGAGTCATTGTTCTATGGCCCGTCAGTACCCCTGTTCACTTCACCACTGCCTAGGACTCAGCCTGCCCTGAACTCTGAAGAATGTTGAAGGTGCTGCGGGATGTACTGCGGATGTACATCCATTCCTGCTCCTCCCACGCACACCCGAACCCACATGCGCCTTGGGGTGATGAACTAACTTAATAATACAATAATAGTCGGCTCGGCCTCCCTTGTTGTGGACTGACTGGCAACGGCGGGCAATGGCGGGTGGTTCGGCCACCCTCCACTCATCATCAGGACTTGGCGGCCTTGAACTTGGAGGACGGACAGTGTTTCTCTTGTTGCTGGGCCAAGGGCCAATGGTGGTGACGGGGAACTGAGGTTTCCGGTTTTGAGTTTGTCAGCCTAGGCGAACACGGACTAGACAATTGCGAACCTGGCACTTTCATGGCGAAGGCAATCCGTACAAAGGCCTCATTCGCAGCATTGTACACACATTCACTCCAGCCGGTGACGCCACATCAGCACCCAAAAAGCGTAATGGTGTGTCTTCTGGACTCGGAAGGCTGGCTGGACGGCCTATTTGGGATGGTAGTCTCGCTTTGTCGTGTTGATGACTGGACCGGAAAGGATGACTTGTCTCACGGTGTGGATGACGGATGACGGATGATAAGTCCTGGGTGACGGGGAGCGGGCTCCATTACTGGTACAACCTCGTGCCAGGTTGGGATGGTGATGCAACATTGGATATCGGCGTGCGCATTTGTGTGCGCTGCAGGACCCGGGCAGGCAAGCCAGTCTTTATTATACCGTGAATCTGCAGCGAGCTGTTGAGTATAGGCTGACTGAGGAGGTTATTTGGAGCATTTGAAGTGTTATCAGGGTTGGCACGCACACGGACGAGTATGTGGCTCGGGGTTAATTGGGCCGACCATGCAAACAACATAGTATTGCTTGGATGGTGTTGATACGAACTGCCTTGTCAGAAGCTCCAACATGAATGAATGGGTGGGTACTTTTTTTTGGAGTTCTACTCCGTACTCGGTGCTGGATTGAAGAGTTGTACAGGATCAAGAGAGTACGAGGCGTCTTTTCCCAATACCAAACACGCAGGCTGGAGGTGTGTCGTTTGACGATGTTGTGCTGCCTTGTGCCTTGTGCCTTACGAAAGGGGGGCTTCGGCATCGCCTTGCGGTGCCAGGGTAATGACATTCGACGTGCCCTTGTATGGCATCGCCTCACGGAATAATGGCATAATGAGCATGAGTTCGTTGTGAAGCCGTGAAGCCCAGTGCAAGGAGCCCGACTCGACGTCTTCCTTGTACCTTGCTTCCCTTCGGCGAGATGATGCGACGCCACGCCATGCCAGACTGGGTTGCCCTGGAGGGCTCTCTTGCGTAGGCTTGCCGTACTCCGTATGCCGTCCTCCGTGCCCCGAGCGTGCAAAGCATGCTCGCCGTTCCATGTCTGCATCTGCGTATCTGCGTCTGCGTGTCTGCGTGAGGGCTGCGTATTCTGGTCTGCGTGTGGCGTTGGTGTGGCCTGCGGCGGCTTCGTCTCGGGCTTGGTCTGCATCCGCGTCCCACCAGACAGAGATGTCTCGCTCACGCCTTTTGTCGACGGCCACGCCCATGCCCACCTGGCCAGCCCACATGTCGTCGACCGGCGTACCTCCCACATGTACCTCGATACTTCAGTACAGCACCCATTACGCATGTGTCCGCGTGTACTTAGACCCAGGTCACTATGTCCCTTGCCACACGCCGTGGGTCGCCCTCTGCGGCTCCTCCGCCCCCAGCAGTGTTCAAGCCTGGTGCTTCAGTTCTGCCATCGGCCGCCCGAAGGGCACCAGTTGACGGCACCATGCTTCAATGGTGAGTCGCTGACCTCCAGGTACTGACACAGGTACCTCCAAGTCGGCACCGGGTCACTTATTTTACATGTATCAGGTACCTTTGTTGCCTGCTCAGGTGGTTACGCCCGTCTGGTACGGAGTACTTCTGATATGGACATACACAGCATGGCAGGAGTGCCCCCCTCGCTCGCCTTCTGCTGGATGGCTCAACATCGATCCATCCAGGTGGTTCAAGCTCTCGCCAGCCCGGGCCACCAGCTCAAGTTGCTCTCCCCAGTCCATCCACTGTCCAGAGATCCCCAGTCCACGATCCACAGTCCCCCGTCCCCGTCAGCCCGTCCCCCCGTCCCTAGCTTCAATGTTGGTGCTGCTAGCCAACTAGCCCACCTGAGGGGCCACCTGAGCACCAGCTGTTCCTGTCCTCCCCAACTTCCAGCCCTAACCCAATCCAGCTGCCCGTGCCCGCCCGTCACCTAAAGCCCGTGCCAGTGTCAGTGTCAGCGCCGCCCAGTGCCAGCGTCCACCCAGCCTTCGCCTCATCCTTCCTCTTCTTCCCGCCTCGAACCGCCATCAGGATAACCTCTCTTCTTCTCCTCACTTCCCTCTGTTGGTGTTGCCTCATGAGCCCTGCGCGGTTGTTGGATACCTCACTTTTGTTTTGGCTTTTGTCGTCCCGAACCACTCGCATTGTGTCCATCCCACTCATTGCTGTCCCTTTGGGGACGCCGGCAGTGAATTGCCTCTGTCAGCCGCCTGATTCCGTCTCGGCTGCCCGAACGTCTGATATTCACGACCATTTACGATCACGATAGGAACAGAACGTGCCGAGTGAATCATATCATGTAACTGACTATTACGCCGCCAACAATCATACTTTCAAGCTTCATTGCAGGAAGCTTTACGCCGAACCTGCCTAACCTCTTTATACTTTGCTTCGGCATCAATCGACTTGGAACCCTCGAACCTGCGCCTCACATCCCACCACGACTAGCAGCCTAGCGCCGCTTGACCAGGGCACAGTCTGTCCGACGTCTTACGAAATCAACATAAAAATCAAAAACCCTTCCCTTCGGATTTGGTTGTTGATCTACCACATACGACAACAATGAATTCTCTCAAGGTTCCCGACGGCGGGTGGATGCTGGCAGGCTCCGCCGACCAGGACTCTTCGCTGCTACCACAAGCATTCGTCGTCAACCTGTCTGATCATGTTGTGGAGCAGATGATCAGGAGTGCCCGTACGGGGGATGACCTTGAATTGGAGTTGGGAAAACGACCGGTATGTTTTCTTCCTCTCAAAGCTCATGTTGTGTGTGCCTTGGAGCATCGTCCAATGCCCGTTCTTGGCAAGTGCCAGGAAGGACTATTGTATGACAAGGTCATCTTTGAGACTCCGTACTCAAAGTTTGCCACCGGATTATATTCATTTTTGATGCTAATAGACTTGATGTAGATGTTACACTACGGACCTAATACGCACCGAATACCGGCCCCCGAGGAGGAAGTTCCTTTTGACCTCTACCTGACCAAGCCTTTTGAGTCGACTCGTCGTGCTGAGCGATTGCCACATGCGGGATCCGTCTTTAGGAAGCCAAAGTCACCTCGTGTCTCTGAAAAGCAGGCTGTGTCGAGCACGAAAGAAACGGACGTCGGCAAGAAACCTTTGTCTAGTAAAGGCTCAGCGTCTTCTGGGCTTGATTCAGATATTGAAGCCCTGCAAAATAGGCTGGCAGCCCATGATGCCGCCCGCGACCGGTAAGTTACATGGCTCTAATGCCTTCTCAATGATGCCTTGGTGACCAGGCGCTGACGGGGATTGAAGCGCTCGCGTTGTCGAAAAGCTGCCTACGGGCAAGGGTGCTGCCAAGGCCAAGTCCAAGGTCAAGCCCTTGGCCAATTATACATCTACCCCAAAATCAATAACAACTTCACCAGCGCTAAATGCCACCCGCTCGCCGAACCTCACTCCGCAAGTGTCAGCCTCCCAGCAAGTCATGGAACGAAAAAGAGAGCAAAGAGTCACACTGGTTCACGAATTGGCGGTAATGGATCGAACGACCGACTATTTAAAGAATAAGTGGACTGGCAAGGAAGAAGATTTCCGGCCAACGTTGGAAAAGATGGCTGATTTGAACGACTCTAAAAAATGGACTATGAAAAAGTCATGCTGGAAGGAGCTCGATGTTTGGAAGTACGATTACGATTCCCAAGACGACCGTCAAACAGCAATTGACAACGCCGTTCGACAATATGACAAGCAGCGACTATCATCTTCTGAAGTAGAGTGGCAACGATTATTGCCCAAGGAAGAACGAGGGAAGGGGAAGTGCTTGAGTCGCTTGCAAGCCAACCTTGCAAAGGGCCCCGCTCAACCAGCACCAAAGATTAAAGTTGACGGTTCTGGCCCAAAGGATGACACGGACGGTGCTGAGAATGATAAGCCCAAGAATGGAGGCGAAAGCATGTCTCGTTCAAACTCGACTTCGTCGCGAACCAAGTCAAACAAGCCCTCGGCTCAGGAGGCCCAGACTAAGAGGCTATTGGGAAATTCGAAATCTACGGCAGCCGCACCAAAGCCATCTCCTACCAAGGCCAAACCAGCACGCAAGACTGAGAAGCGTGAGCTTTCCGCAGCCATCATTGAGAACTCCGACTCGTCTGGGGATGAGCCACCAATAATGAAACCAAAGCCTGTCCCAGCTAAAGCAAATAAAGCCAAGGACACAGTCATTGTGAACACCAGACCATCGGCACCGGCAAGGGAACCTGTCAAGAAGCCACCTGTGAAGCGACCGAGGGAAGAATCCGACTCGAGCTCCAGCTCCGGCACGCCACTGTCAAAGCGGATTAAGCCAAAGCAACCGTTGCCTGCCCCCGGCTCTAGGCCGCTTGCCACAAAGAGCAGCCAGCAATCGCAAGCCCGTGCTGCATCGACCTCGTTCCGAAGCAAAAACACGAACAATACGTCTCCAACAAAGTCGTCACCGCTTGCTTCGTCTCCACCCACCAATGCATCAGACTTGGATGAGGAGCTACCGATGCCCAAGAAGCGAAAGGCAGATAAAGAGGACAAGCCCATGTCGGTGAAGCGCCGGGCTGTGCCTTCGGATGTCTTGAACAAAGCACACAAGTTCAAGACATACTATCAGCAATATGAGACGTTGCACTACGAGATTACGGCGCTGGACAACCCACCCCACGAGAAGCTTGCTAGCCTGCTAGATTTGCGAGACCGACTGCAAAACATGAAGCGGGAGATTTACAAGCAGTACTCTCCAGATCGAGAGTGAGGAAGATTTGTTGCTATTGTATTAAGTGTTTTTGAATGCCTCTTAGGTTTTGACTTGTTTTTTCTTCTTTTTATCATGACATTGCATGTTGGGCCTGGGAAGGGAGCGATATCTTTTTATTCTCTTTTGACATATTTGCTTTTATTATTTGGACCGACAAAAACGGCGTACACAGGATAGCGGAATTAGCATTTGCATCAAGGACCAGGGACCAGGACCTTTTGCACGTATACACAGAGGACAGTGGCGGAAGCAGTGATGGAGACAGGAACGTGGAAGTCTACCAAAGATGACGAGAGAGGAGTGAACGAGACCTCGTATGGGCCATGCCTATCTAGGCAGAGGGTTTTAGTTTTTTGATACCACAGCCTGACACAGGCATGATGAATACAAAAAGTATACTCAAATTGACTATGAGTCTGTGACCTCTGGGTGCTGTGAGCGGCTGAATGGCGGTTGGACCCATATACCGCAATGAGCCAAGTGCTCACACGACTGTTTCACGAATTTATTGAAGCTGTTGGGTTCTGCGGCCTGGATTCGACACCGAGGCCAACTGCGTGGTGTCGACTGCAATTGTTTCGGAAGCTCGGTTCCGCGCCGATACGGAGTCGCAGGACCTGGGTGGGCCAACACTCGTCCTTTTAAAAGGTTGTACATACATAGTATTATGTACACGTCCTCCGTACTCGGAAATACCATACATATGAGCATAATAGTACGCCCCCGAAAAAAAAAAAAAAATAAAGAAAAGAAACAAAGGTCATTTCGCTTGTATTGCCGGTTTATGCCATGAATGTTGCCCGACGGGCCATTCATTGTTGTACGATTATTTTTAAACTACGGGGTACGTACCTCGGCGCATGGGTGGTTGGCCCCCGGTCCTCGGTACCCGAGACAGCAGAGACAAAAAGAGACGACAAGACGGCCGGCATGGTTCTAGAGTCTTCAAAGCGCGGAACTTTCCAGAGAACAAACCACCGCCACAATTGCACCACCGCAGGGCGGCGAGCTTCCTGGGCGGCCGGGCTCGCGGGCTCTGCTGCGTCAGTGCAAGGCCAGGCTGCCAGCCTGAGCGCCAAAAGCCGCCACGCCAGGGTCCCCAGTGGGACGTTGGGGCGGCTGGGCCGTTTGGGAGCCGCACACGCCCGTTGGCTGGCGGGGTGGGGGGTGAGAGAGGGGGAGGGGGCGTGGGAACATCCGCTTTTATGAAAATCCAGGGTCCTGGGCGAAGCAATCAACCTTTCTCTGCTGCCGCTTCTTTTCTTTGCGGGCGAGTTTACGGTTTTTTTTTTTAAACACGCTCGCTGGCGTGTAAAGTTTCTGGGTATACATATTTGAATCGAACTCTGCGGCAACAATGGCTGTGTTTTGAGCGTCCTCGCCTCGCGAGAGACGAGCACAGACGGACCAGAAAAAAACCAAAAAACCGAAAATGGCCTCATATGACCTGCCCCAGGTCTATGAGAAGCCCGCCTACGAAACACTCCTCGCTGTCCTCGAAGGGCTTCGCCTCCAACCGCCTGTATGGAACCGCCGGGCGGGACGCGCCGCCGTCGTCCAGGAGCACGAGTCGGCTGGTGCGCTGCGCAAGGCCGACGTGACGCGGTACATATCGACGATTGTGTCGTCGCCGCTGGGCTGGATCGCCGACGAGCAGCAGAGGGAGACGCTGTGGGATCTGGCGGCCCGGCGCATGTCGGAGCGGTGCGGCCGCGCAGCCATGGGCGACATTGTGCGCAGGTGGCCGTTTGAGGCGGCCGACGGCAGCGTGGGCGCGTACGAGCCCTTTGAGCTGGTGATCCGGGAGCCTGCGCTGACGGGGGACTCGCTGGGCCTCAAGACGTGGGGGGCGTCGTATCTTCTCGCGCAGCAGCTGCCCGGGCTGGCTGCCACGTCGCTGTTCAGGCTGTTTGACGAGTCGTTGGGCCACGAGGCGCCGGCCGTGCTGGAGTTGGGATCCGGCACAGGGCTGTTGGGCCTGGCGGCCGCCGTGCTGTGGAAGGCCCGCGTCTGCGTGAGCGATTTGCCGGCCATCACGGGGAACCTGAAGGGCAATGTCGATGGGAATAGGGCCGTCGTGGAGGCGAGGGGGGGAGCGGTGAAGGTCGGCACGCTGACCTGGGGTGGTGGCGAGGACGAGGTTGAGCAGGAGCTGTTTGGGAGGGAGAACCAGTTCAAGGTATGGTTTGACGCTGCGTGTGACGACGTTGGGGAACCGTGAGGAAGAAGAATGTAGCTGACGGACTTTGTAGATTGTCCTGGCCGCAGACCCCATGTATGACGACAATCACCCGGCGCTGCTGGCATCTGCCATCGGCCAACATCTGGCGCTGGGCACGGAATCGCGAGCCGTCGTCATGGTCCCTAAGCGCGACAGCACGACGGTCAGGCTTCTGGAGGCGTTCAGACAGGCCATGCTCGATCTTGATGTTCCCCTGTTTTGCGTCGAGGAAGACGAGTTGGCCGGCCAGGATGATTGGGTCGGCGACGATGAAGGGGGCCATGTCCGATGTTGGTTGGGTGTGTTTTCACGCGGCGGCTCACCCATGTCTGTTTAATGCCTGCGCTGGTGTGAAGTTGGACCTTTATGAATAGACGGCATATACACTACACAAGCGCCCAATACACCGGCCTCATAGCCGTGCGTTTCCCAAGAAACTCCCTGAGTAATGATGGGGTGATGACGACGGGCCTCAGTAACAAGTGAGCCGTGTGCAGAGTATAGCTTCACATCAAAGGAATGATTCAATGGGATGCAAGCCCAACTGAGCAAATTTGTTAGTGAGCATCAAGCAATCATAAAGGCCTGACCTTGGGCTCACTGGGCCACCTCATAGCCTGAATCATGTGCAACATTGTGCGGATGAAGCAACTATGCGAAAAGCAGCGCGCTCATAAAGATAACGAATACTTCCATAGACTGAACAACAGACTGACCGTGCGCGTGAGCGGACGTATCGTCTTTTGTGAATCAAGGGGCAAAGGCCACAACCCGGCCGCAATCTTCTTGCAATGCTTGTTCTTTGTTCCTCTCACGTCCTCCCTTTGACCTCATGCTTTTGCCACGGTACCTGTGATAGGCATCTTGCGGGCATATTCACATGTATGTGAAGCACGGAAATGGAACTGCGTGCCATGTGCAACGGCTGAAACAACTGCGATGAATACCGTCCTCCGAGTTCCCGCATGTCGTAATTTTGCCACCATCAAGTCCCTAAGCTCCATCCATTTATTTTTGCCCCCTGAATGTGACGTTTGCATGGAAACAGCATGATGCGTTATGAGCCAGTTCTGGGCAATGGCTCTAGGCATGAAAGCCAGTAGCATACTTTGGTCCGACCGGTCATTATCATGATGAGCCAAGAGCTACCGCTATGATATCTGCCTCCATTGAGATTTTGTCATTGCAGACTACTAGGAATACACCTAAATCGCTCTGGCTTGCTCGTTGGGTATCCACAAAGTCACAAATCGTTGTCTACAAAATCTTGGTGGACTAGGCAATTTGGCTCGATAGACTGTATAGCCTAGGTGCCCACGATTTCCTGAGGGCCAAGGCTTGTATTATCTTCAGTGACGTCTGTCAACTGCTGTCAGTCGAATTTATAACGTTGTCGTATAGGAATTTGAGCAAGTAAGAAAATACTTTAGCACGCAAATGTTTCTCCATCTTCCCTCGCTCACGGGGCAAGCCTGGTAGTACAGAATTGCCCTTCAGATATCTCTTTATTTTTCTTACTCATCGAGAGGATTCTAAGCATTGACTTTTCGTCTTTGACACTATTTATACTAAAGTGAGCATGATTGCCCCGCCGGCTTGGTGTTTAGCCAAGAATACACTAGATCAAGAGAACAGACTTTTTCATCCCTTGGAGACCTACACATTGACTGTTCTGTCTGTACTATTGATCGGTGTTTTCGGGCTGTCCAGCGAAGACGTGGACTACTGCTGGTGATGATTGGAAATGTGAGATCGCCAAGGCCATTTCCATGCAAATCGTCATAACAATTGTATCTATCTCACTTGTCTTCATGAAAAGACGTCAGGGAGAAAGAGGGCCAGACCTAGGGCTTTCAAGCGTCTTTTTGGTAGCGATACCCAGCTCGATGATAGCCGCGGTCCTATTCTAGCCCATGTCAAAGTGAGCCTTTTCGACTTTGTTGGATTTACTCTGCCGACGCGGCTTCGGCAACACAGTCATTTCGAGACTTTAATATGTTCGCTCGCTTATGTTTGGTTGAGTTATTGACCTGGAAATTATATCGACAAGATTTATCTCACGTTCCGTCAGTACAAGGGCTATTTTCCTTGTCGAATATGGCTGCGACACCGTTAGACCTGTTGACAAGAGTTCTGTATTTCGGACAGTGCCGCCTTATAGACGCCAAATACTTACCAGCTTAAAGTCACAGGTATCTAGATAGCCGGGAATCAAAGGAAGGTGTGTTGGCTACTTTGTCCAAACCCAATAGGACGTTCTGCAAGGACAGAGCCAGAACAGAGCCAGAACAGAGAGTGTCCCGATATCCACGACAATGCCAGGCTAGTGAATAGAAAGGCAGCTGATGTTTTTCTCAACCTTTCTTCTCACTTTTGCATGGATTTTGACTGCGGTAAGTGCATCCATGCTCTGTTGAAGATGTAGTCAAATTTGGTAAGTACCGCAAATTCTAGGACTCGTCGCTTCGAAGTGGAGAGAAACGAGAATACGTCGTGCTCGTATTCGAACGATTCACTCATCTAGTCCAATTAACATCATTATAAGTATCGTACCTTGGAATCACTGCTTGATCCTTTGTGTCGAACATTTTGGTGACGCTGGGAACACATTGAAGGCTAGGTAGGCTAAGCCATGATGCGTCTTCGTTGAAAGGATCTAAATTCACAAGACAACCCTGCCACTGGAACAAAGAGATGAAGCATGAAAATCTTCAAGAAAATCAAAGAGGAGTATGGAGTAATCTACCTCTTGTTGCATTTGTGATGAAATAGTGGGCGCATCGTTGGTAGACGTTCAAGTTTGCGGCACGGTGTAGTGCAGAGGAGAAGAAGTTGTCTGTGGTGGCCGGCTCTGCCTTGCACAATGAAACGAGACGCTTGGCGGTTTAGGGAGTGAAGGAGCAATCGAGCTATTTAGTGTTATCTATAGAAGGCCACGGATGCAACAACTTCCTCGCCACGGCTTACATTTGGCTGCGCATACAAGAGGAGGACTCTGAGTGTCAGGCGAGCAGGGCATTGTGAGGACTTGTACAAAGCTAAGAGCTCGAATACGTGCACAGTAAGCAGCAGCAGCTTCTTATTATGCTTTATTAGGCTTCACTTCCTGTGGAGGCCCCCTACAGAATCGAGAGCACATGGCAATGGCATCAGGTGCTGATACATGAAGCCGGCGGAGGACACGGGCAACATTGGACGAATAATGGCCACATGAAAACACAAAACATAAAGACCCTGAACGACGATTGTAGTCCCGTATGACTCGTCCAAGTCACTGAATTACGCAGCAGTGACAAAGGGGAGCCGTCCAAGCTTTGCCAGCCGGTGTCATCTGCCGTACGCCTGGCTCTACGCTGCGCTTGTCTTGTCCAGGAACTGTTCTCTGGATTGGGTAATATAAGCTTGAGTCGTATGGTGCTAGGCTTGTCATATTGACTGTTTGTCTCTTCCTCCTCCTCGCCCCGGCGCCTTTTCACCGTCCCCACCTGATCTTTACCTTTCTCTCTCCCAACTTCTCTCGTCTTCCTCCCACGCCCCTTTGCTTTCTTCTCCCCTGAATCCTGCCGTCTCTCATCTGCAGCTCATCCGACTTTCCGCCATTATACCACCAAGCAACTGCCCCGTTCTGCTCTAAAATACATCGACTTGGTTGGGTCTCGTGCCACATGTCGCATCATCGTCGACCTGTCGCCTGCTTTACGATACACTGATTATTCGCGCCGAACCAAACCAAAGAGATATGCTCATCTGCTCATCTGCTCGACCTGATCTCCCTCTTCACTCACTTTTGGTCGTTCTTGCAAGAGCCTTCTCGAACCAGCAACGCCCGGCACAACCAGCGTCTATCCCTTTCAACGACAGCAGCAGTACCCAGGCTCATCCTTATCATCGTCTGGGGTTGGCTTCAAGTGGTCTCTGATGGCATCCGATCCCAAGTGAGTCTGCGTGTTTCCATAGGGCATGCATGCAAACAAGTCATCTTTCCATGACGCCACCTGGCCGACCTATATATTTTCTTCATCCCTCTCCCTTCCAGAGGCGCTTGTGTCTCTAACGTTTCCGCAAGAAATCATCCTATGAAATAACCTTGCTATTCCCTATTATATACTATCCCCCGTATTCTTTCTCCGGTGTGCTTTCAAAAGGCTTGCGTTTGCTTTATTTTTTCCTCTGTGCCAGATCGCTTGTGCGCCTCGCCGCATCAACATCTCGATCTCTTGTTTCCCCCTTTGCGTCAACCGTGATCCATCTACCTGATATCGAGATGGTGGGCTCTCAACAATACAAAGACGTCGAGATACACTACGTTCTCAAGGCTATTCACATGGGAATGCCACCCCCCTGGGTTCGCATGAGGTTCGAGCAGCGCTTCAAGCGCAAGCTGTCTGACAATCAACTTCGTTATTTGAAGAATAAATATGGCAGAGATCCCCGGTTCGGGTAAGCTCTATTTCACTTGGCAGTATTGTGTCCATTGCAATTTCTGGTGCAGTTATTGTTGCAGAGCCATGGATCACGTATTCAACAGCTGCACTCGTTGGTTTCATTCTTGAACTCCCCCTTGAAGCTAACGATTCCCTTGCATAGCACTCCTGTTGCCAACAGCACCTCCACCTTTGGAACACCGAACCCGCGGATTGGATCAGATAACTGGCCACTTGATGACGTCCTGGCTATCGACTACCAAGCTTTTGAACACGTCGCCGATCCAAACCTCCGTGTTGCTGCCGCTACTAACAGCATCATGGCCCCAACATCTCCAATCGTGGCTCCTCATCTCCCCGTTGTTCGGTCTGGAGGCCCTGGTGGCAGTGACCTAGCTGGAGCCCTCAGCCCCCGTACTACCTCCGTGGCCGGCCAGAAGCGTGCGCGTGGCAAGGACGAAGACGAAGAGGTTGAAGGCTTGACCGGAAAGTGTGTTGGTCTGCCCTAATGCCTTGGAGCACCGAGACTAACCTTGAGCCTTCCTCCAGTCGTCCTCCAAAGCTTTACAAGACATCCCGCGTCGATTCCTCTGCAAGCTATACCGATCATTTTTCTCGACCGGAATACTCTGCGGCCTTTCCAAGCCCACTTCCTATATATGGAAATGGTACAATGCTCTCGAGCGATGGGGCTTTCACTCCTACTCCTGTTGGACCAGTTCTTCCAGCATGCCCTCCGGTTGCGCGAACTCCCACATTCTGCTCGAGTGGTCCAGTTCATACCTATGCACTTGGACAGGTAAACCAGTTACCGGTGAACTCCTTCCACTTCACACAGCTAAGCCCCATGGCACAGGGCGTAGCCAGTAACATGTACACTGACACCCTCACTTTCCAAGACGATCCATACGCTGATGGGTCGGGTGTCACAAGACGCGGCGTCCCAGGCAATATAAACACGGTTCCATTTTATCACCCGAGTACTAACTTTTCCTTCAATGGTGGTTTTGGGCACCATGCTTCTAGCGAGCTGGACATCCCCAGCCTCAGTTACCAGCATGGCCCAAAAGGTTGTTTCGATGGCTATGGCCAGAGCTCCGCATTGCCAAATCCATGGGACTTCAGCAGCACCTTGGTTCATCCGTCCATGGACCTTTTGAACTCGACACCCGGTTTCCTTGGACTCAATAACACCCCAGCTATAGGCACACAAAATTATACACCGCACCAAATGCCTGCGAACCACTCGCCCTTTACGCCCGCGTCGAATATGATACAGCCGGCGGTATCGCTCCAACCAGTCAACAATCAAGTTGCCCGGCAGATATCGCTTGGCTGTGCAGCCGTCCCAGAGACGAATGCTTGCTGCAGGCTAAAGACGGAACTCAGCAACGACGTACTCGATAATGCGGCATCCAAAGAATGCAGAGAAAGATTGAACAGAGAGTTAATAGAGAGTTTATCTGTCCATGGCTCTGATACTAATAACCTGCATCTTTTTTCTCACTTCCCTCCCCCAGCCAAGGGCGGCTTTCACCAGGCTCTCGAAATCGCACACCCGGCTACAAATATGAATGCCCCTACAGCCAAAACTGCCTCTTCAGATGAAGTATATGAGACTGATATTTGTGATCATGATCGCCCTACGACGACCTCAACCGTCTGTACTCGTGCAACTTCGGTTTCTCAGCTCAGCGAGCCTGTCCATAAAGGGAAAGCACGCAACGAGAACAGGCTCCAGGATGAACGCCCCAAGGATGGTTTCATCACGACCAGCGCAGCCCGGGCTGTTCCTGGCGTTTCTCGACGAACAGAAGAGAAGTAAACGGGCTTGAACGGGTTCGAATTGGTGCATTTCGGTATGCGGCGGGGATTATGAAGCGTGCCGCACTTGGTAAAAAATTGGGTTTGGCGCGTGCGACTTTCACCCTTTGAGATATTCGTTGACCTTTGTTTCTTGATTCATTTTTGTTGTCTCAACTTTGGACCATGGCCGCTGGAGGATCACAATATATTAGCAACGACTGAAGAATGGATACTCTGGGGTTTAAAGAAGCGATTTTTTCTTTCGTTTTTCTTCTTTATGATATCTTTGCGAAACAGTGAAATGGAGTTTCTTAGATAATGTTTGGTGAGAATTTTGATGAATTGGGCGAGATGCGCGAGAACGGATATGGCCCCAGCATGATCGGAGGAACTCTGCTACAAGTAAAGGGAACTCGAATAAGTTCCGAATTCGGACGCGGTTAGATATTGACCTTGAGACCAATACAGAACACTGTATGTCCGAAAATGATGATAAAGAGGTTGATTAAAGTAAAGTAAATTGATCGTCATAAGCCTATACAGCGATAACTCCCATACCCATCCGGCGTGACAGAGTCAAAAGAGTTGAAAGCAAAGGAGCCAAAATAAAAAAAGGGTAGAAGTAAGGGGGTATCTAGTGCGATGTGACAAGTTCAGTTGAGCGCCACATCTCGCTCTTTTGTAGCGCTATTCCGCTTGGACAAAGATTCAGTGCCAATGAGAAAAGAAATAACACATGGATGTAATCTCCAATGAAATATAGTCATAAAAAGTTTAAAGTTCCTAACTCGTAGCCCAAATTCTAGATGGCGATGCTGACGTTTCTTCGTGATTCAGCTTCATCGACGCCAAATTGAAAGACAAACTTGAAAAGGTCGCGGAGGTAGGCATATCGTGGAGAACTATTGCTCATGGCCAGGACACTCTTCGCCATGTCCTGAGCCATCACCCGTTTTCCACGAACGGGCAAGGCGTGGTTCCGTGGAAGGAATTTGTCTGATAGAACAGAGCTTTTATACTGCTGCAGGAGCGTGGCATGACTAGATAGGGAGCCGAAGGAGCCTGCAGGTAAACCTTGAACAAACTTGTGCAGCACTGTGGACTCGGACATAGGATCTTGGATAGCGTCCCGATTAAATCCTATGTTCATGGCCGCTCGGAGAACAAGCAGCTTTGATCTTGAAATATTAGGATCTTCTGTTGCAGTAGTTGTGGTTGCTGTGCTCGAAGTTCGATTACTACCCCGCGAATAGCTGGAAATGTTGGATGTGTTGCTCGACCATCTCCCCCCAAGACCCGTATCGCTGGGGGTACCGAGCACCATAATGTTGGGCATCTGGGGAGATCGACTTTCTGGAGAGATAGGAGTGTCTTCAAACTCGGTCACAGGAGTTTCTGGAACTGGTGGCGGTTCGCGTGGCCGCTCCTCCTGATGGCTGCTTTTAACACTTTCCCTTTTGGAGTGCAACGATGAGCGATTTGACTGTCGGCTTTCTCTGCCTGATTGCTCTATAGGTTGTTGAGGGAAAAAGCTTGTCTGACTTGGCCTTGGGGTATTTCTGTCAGGGCGAATCTGGGTCCAACCATCTCTGAAAATGTCGCAAAGATCCCAGCATGCCTGGACAGCTGACCCAAGTAATTCCTCATCCACCGGATTTCCATCTCGCTTATTTTGGCGAAGACTAAACAGCATTTCAGCCAAGGTCCAGCACGCGCTTAGGAGATGATCTGTCTCTTCTGCTAATTCACTACGCTGTTTCATCAGGCGATGGCAAAGTGTGATGTAAAAGTCGAGAGTTCTCTCCCTGAACGGTTCTGGTAGCTTCCTACTATCCTGAGCGCTGTAAAGGCTGCATTTCTCTTGTCAGCTATAGCATTTGTTGTGGTCTGTCACAAGGACCTTACTGATTGTTCAGCTCAAAGCTCACGCGAAGCACCGAGTCCGAAGTCTCATCTTTCTTTTGGCGGACATCAAAAAGAGCTTGACAAAAGTCTCGACATAGTTCCAAGTTCATTCTCACATTGTGAGAAGCCAGGTCTTCATCTTGGTTGTCGTAAAGACGCTGGCAAAGCTTCCAGCAAGTTTTCCAAGCCTTCTCGTGAGCGTCGGGTGTCCCAGAACTGTAGAACACTCGTGCTCTGTGGATTGCACTAAGGCTAGCCAGTGTGTTGCAGAGTGTCCAACACTCCTTGAGCGCTGCCCTAAGAGCTGTAATTTCATCGTCAGCAGGCCGTAAGAATGGAGCAGCGGAATAGTCATCGTTGCCGTCGTCGTCCTCTTCGGCCTCAGTTTGTTCATCGATCTCTACCAGTCTGTCAGCCACAGAATCTCAACGGAAAGAGCCTGAGTACATACTTTCGAGGCTACTAGTACTACTGGATCTCAACCGGCTCCCATCACCTAACATATCTTGAAGGTCCTGGGCTCGGGGAGTTGCGCTGTCAATACTGTATCGAACTGGCTTTACATCCGTCGAGATAGGGGGCCGAGGGGGCTGTGATATGGGCTACAGAAAGCAAATAGTTAGCTGTCCGTCTAACAACATCTATTGCACACGTCGACTTGCCTTTTGCATAGGACTACTAAGTGCAGCCGAGTTTTCCTCCTCTCTCCCGGAGAAGGACCGATCGCTAGGCTGGCTTTGTTGAGCCGTGGACTCTGTGGAGGTCTGGTAGATGTTTAAAAACCAAGATATTAACAATGGAAACATCTCAACCGTGGAAAATGAAACACCCACCCAACTAGCAAAGCTCTCAGGTGCATGAATGACTGAGACAGCCTCATCACCACTTGCCTGCCGAAAATTCTCGGGCAAATTTGTGGAGAGCATGAGAAGCTATCCAGAAGTTAAAAAGGGCTTCGATGCTCGATTTGCAGGGTGACATACTTCGGAGCTCTGCGACATATCTCCATAGTGTGTTTGTTCGACATCTTCTAAAGCGTCGTCTTCAATCTCAGTGGTTTCTGTCCCATTAGAAGTCACAGGGGACGGTCCTACAATGTCGCTTGGGCTTAGAATGTTCATCGAGTTTGAAGATACGCGATTAACGGAATTTGGCCGCAACATAGCCGAGTCTGTTACAGGCGGAGGAGAAGAGCTAATATAGTAAGTCAAAAGTCGTCATCCACAACTGTTCGGGAAGTAACTTACACGGTTCTGTATGATGACCGCAGCCCATCAGTTTCTGCTGAGATAGACATGTTGCCCTCTTTATTAAAAGGAAATTGCAAGTTTCCAGCTGATGATCTGAGAGGTGCCTCAAGAGCCATGATCGGATGGCAATAAATGCGCGATGGTTGACAGGAAACTCAAAAGTGGTGTAGGCTATCAAACATAAATATAATTAAGTGGTGCAGTGATAGTTACGCAGGCCTGCGGTGCACCTTTAACATGCCCGGGCAAGCTACGAGTTCAGCCAGTTCCAAGCAGACACTGTGATCACCACAGCGGAGCTATAATCGAAGCGAGGTATGCCTGGCCGAATTGTGTTAGACCGGTGCATGAATGGTGGTTGAGACGAGGTGATCCACGAGGTCGCAATAGTCGGCCTACCTCATTAGCAGACTTCCAGAATCGAAGCGGCGACAGGACGTTCGAAACAATATTCCTCCAGATGGAGGGCTGGGAGGATCAGGGTCGGGAGCAACGGGCGGGCGGCTGTGGTTTAAAGAGGCTCCGCGCAATGAGTGGTTACGGTCAGGTTGGTTGATAGACAAGGGTGATTGGACCCCATAGGTATGCGTCCAACTAGGCTGCAGTAGGCTGAAATGCACCCCTGTGAGATTCTGTGTTATAGCGACTCACAGCAGCAGATGGCCGTTGCTTTTTGGAAGCGCCAGGCTGTCTGTTCAGTCCGTGCAATGGGCAGGTAAACCAGGTGTGAGGTGGAAGCAAGTGTCAGCAGCCTCAAAGTTGTGGGAGATCCTGAGCAATCTCCAAGGACCGCCGGAATTAATAAAGTGGCCAGCAAAAGAGTAGGTTGAAAAGGGTGTCTTGGTGATGCTCAGGTGCAGCCATCCAACCAGACTCAGACATGAGGGGCTTGGGGCCTCGTGTTGGAAGCTGTTATCCTGGTGATAACGTTGGCTTATTTGATGATGAACTGAGCTACCTTGGGCCGGACGATCTGGCCGGCGGGTTTCCGTCTCTCAATGAGCCACGTCGTAGGCTCTGTTCGGTAAATCAAAGCTGTCAGCACCAGGAAGGCATTGCAAACTTTTGCTCCGGGGCGTCATGGGGAGAGAAATACGAAGTAACAGTCGTAGCTAGTGGCAGACAATCCAGCTTGGCCGAACAACCAACAACTCGAAAAAGCTGTTGGTTCATGTGAATCGCAACACCAGGAAGGGCGAAAGGCGTACTCAAGTTGCATGCGCTATCCCCTAAATGGGTGTGAGCTTCTTGTTTCCACAACCAACGCGTGACGAAAACCAAAGTTTCCCAACCGGCAGGAAAGCAATCGGGTTGTCCCATCAAGAACAGAGAAAGCAGCTGGACCCTTCTCGATCCAATCTAGCGCACCATCCTCGTCAGCCAGGTCCGCGCTCTCATCGCCATTGTCCCCTCTTGCCGCAACGGCCCAGAGCTCTTTGTTCCAGCCAGTCACATATCGCGTTACTCGTCGTGGTGGAGGGAGGGGACGAGCCCCGATGCGGCCAACGCGCGGGGCTGCATGAAGGGCAGCAGGCCTCGGCGCTTAACTCTGGCGAGTGGGTTGGCGGCTCGCTTCCGGCGACAGGTCGCAATTCGTTGATAGATACTCTTTCATCCTCCCAGAAAGGGTGTGCGTGGCAACTGACTCCATCGTCTCGCATGTTTTTGCCCGCCTTTGGCCAGCTGATGGGAAAGACATTCAGGAACAGCGCGCGCATGCCTCAGGTATCCCCAGGTATCCCAGGTATCCCTGCTATACCGTGAAGGATTCGAGACGCATATCTTCTGGTAGTGTGTACTGGCAGGCGGTTTGGGAGGCTTGTTTGAGCTGAAATCGATCAACTTGATTCGTAACTAGTGAGCACGCTCTTGCTTACCTACATGGCTGTTTTGCAGAGTGCACGCCAAGACCCTGGTCAGGATTGTATGATATCTTCACCAGTGAAGACCTTCCTTCAAGCTTCCAGCATCAGGTAGCAGCTCTCACAAGGCTTGTGCAACCAACCCAACACCACCGTCGCTTGGTCTGAACGCGCATTTTGATCGGTAGTTTTGACCTTGGTCGCTCCGCTTGAACCATGTCTTAGCATCGGCCTTTAAAAAAGCACATAAATAGTAGTCAAAGGCGCAATGGTAGATAAGTTACTGCATACCGTCGTGGACGAATCCCAATGGCAGTTTGGTCCCGAAGATCTGGTCACGGCGGCTTCAACATCAAATCAGGCCTGGCAGGTGGAGCCCGACACCTGCACGACTGGGGGGCTGCCTAGACTTTGGCAGCAATATCTTCTCAGCAAACGACAAAGTCAAAAGGCGTTGGCTTGAAATTTGTGTGCAGGTGAGTGAATTGAAAAGAGGCTTTTCACACTCAGAATTTAGACTGTGGAGCGCAGCAAGGGGGGATATTTGAAATTGCTCTAGGGAAGGAGCAGTCTCCGTGGAATCGTTTTCGGCTTGGTACGTACGTCTCTCCCAGGTAGGATCTTTTGTCTACGACGTTTTCTGTTGATATAGAAGTATTGTTTTCTCCAAAATGACGAGATGCTTGTGTAACGGCTACTTGGGGCCTCAAGGTCTTCGCCCAGATTTACCACCAACGCTTGCTTAAAGAGCTCGCTTGGATGCCACATCCTGGCAAGCCATGTGCTGTGCATCCAGCTCCAATTCAATTATTCGCAGCTGACTGGAGTGAATGCAGTTCTTGACAACACCTACAGCGGCCAGCGCACCGTAATCCGTGGCGCTATGCATTGGTTGCACGACAGCCAGCTCTAGAGACCCAAGTCTGCCCGAGTGGGGAGCTATTGGCCAACATAGCCGCGATATGGCCGCCCATGGTAGAATTTGAACTCTCAAATCCTGCCCGACACTACTGGCGACCTGATAACCGGTTTCAGGTATATCAGCAAGCCACTTCGAAAGCATTGACGCTTTGTTTAGCGCCAGAAGCCTACCTTTATACAGCTCCGATTTAAATTTAGCATCTTCTAAGCAGCTACGCGAGGCACCCTGGATCTGAGATTGAAAGAGGGCATAAGCATGTTTTGGAATGGTTATTGAGGTTCGGAAACACGGCGTTTTCGTAGTACACCGTCTTCGACGGGCTATGGATGCTGTAGATTCCCGGAGTTGGCTAGGTAGACAAAGATTTGGTGCGTTACCGGAAGCTGAGGAGCTGATACCAAGTTACATTAGCTGCAATAGACAGCCGCTTTGCTCAACGCATGCCATCAGTGTACAGGAGTGAGATCTGTTGGTGGATTAGTGCTATTTCAAATACTTTGGGCCATAGGACGGTATCACTTCATGCCTTGACTTTGCCCGACCTAGGGTACTCTGCTACAACTCGTGTCTAGAGCTAACATGGAACGAGAACGTGCAAAACAGGCAGTCGCATGGCTCCTTTCATTTAGGTGTAGATAACATCCCTAGGCGGGGAACGAGCCATCCTAGGCCACAGGTCACATCTATGCCATCATTCGACAACGTTGTTAGGTAGAATCAGTTTTGAATCAACTTGTGAGCTCGATTCTCTCGAAGAGGAAAGGGGCTGGGAACAGACCCCTAGCATTTAATCTCCTAAACAGAATGTCTAAAGAGGCAAAGTTCTTTTGGGTATGCCATAACCTGGCCTCCTCCAGCGCCAAATCTGTTATCAAATCAACATAGAAAAAGAAACGACCCAAGAAACGCCGACCCATGCACTCATTGACAGCGAATGATCCAGCCTCATGCCAGTTCATTGAGCCGTTGCTTCTTCTCGTTTCGACCGTCTGGTGTATATCTAGGGCAATTCAGTTAGCAACTGCGATGTTGAAGGAGCCCAGCTAGTTTGGCTTACTTGAGCAGTTTCTCGATGAGGTCGACGTGGGTCATGATCATGCGACGACAGCAATAACGCTTCAAACCAAGTTCGTCCATGGCATCACTGTTAAGTAGTGTCAGAGAATTCCTGTTTTCAGCAGTGATTTGCCCGGTATGTGCTTACCCATCAGTTTTTCTCGGATCCGCGATGAGTTGGAGATACCGCTCCCAAAGGTCCCCCGTGACCTGCAAACATTAGTGGTGGACTGCAATATGGAGTTTGCGCATGCGCGTACCTTTCCGCAGGAGAAGCAACGTATAGGAATAATCATGATGAATTTCCTTTGAGAGCTGATGACAGATCAAAGTGTGTCTGGAGATAGATGGATAGAAAGGTGCGATCGTGACGAGATTGGCTTTGTGAGGCGACTAGAAAATAGAGCCTGGGCCGGGGTTTTGCCGGAAGCCTTATCTTATCAGCAAAAAGTTCAATGGCGGGACCAAAATTTCTGAGCCAGCGCAGGCCTGAAGCCGACCTTGTCGACGGCCAAAAATTGCCCGTTGCGACAAAGCTTTTTTTCTTCGTCTGCGATTTGCACGCACGTTCCATATCTGTCGGATAGAGAACATCTGTGACAATGACTGGAACTAAGGGCACTCGGGCTAAAGATGACAAAACAAAAAAAAGAAAGAGGGGCATAACTGAAAGCGAGACGACGTCGAAGAGACACAGACAGCAGAATCGAGAAAGCAAAGCTAATGGCAACAACACGCCAACGCCTCAAAAGTCAAAGCAGGGAGAATCAAACCATGAGGTCCTGGCAGGAGAACTGAGCTCTTTTCGTCCTCAACAAGTCATTCGGCAGTCTGACGACGGAGAGGCTGGCTGGCGAGTTTCAAAGCCAATGGGCGGCCGGATGCTAGACATTGATCCCATTCTTACAAAAGACGAACAGTGAGATGCCTTTCAAATCATACCCCAACCTGCTCTAACACTTGGACAGATATCTCATCCTAACGTACAACACCTCAATTCAAATATATAACGCCAACGACTCCTTGCTCATTCGACGTATTCCAATTAGCACTCTCGATACATCAGCCTCGAAGGGTTCAATTCCTGCTCACATTGTTGGAACCCGTTTGTCAAAAAACAACCCTCAGTTAGTGTGGGTGGCATGCTCTGATGGACACATTTATTGTGTTAATTGGTCTCAAGGAGACGCCCCGTCCCCTGCGTTTCAAACGTCTTCCAAAACTGCGAAAGCCTTGGCAGTTGTGCCAGTTGCTTTTGCTGAGGACAAAGAGATCCTTTTGGTTGCGGAGTCAGAAAAATCGAACCGTATGGAAGTCATTGCATACCAACTAGTCAACGGTGGCAAGCGCAAGTCCAACAGCGTCTTGTCTCTCCAGAAGCCCGGATATGGCCTTCAAATTCTCGAGACCAGTGAAGACGGTCAGGTCATCGTGGGAGCATTCCAAGATAGCTTATTCCTAGGCACTGCCTCTGCAACCGCTGAGAGCCTTGACCAATTGCAGTACGAAATCTTCTCCTTCGACTCTCCTGACCTCATCACATCCATCGACCTGAGACTACATGCACGGTTTTCAGGGAGCAGAAAAAGCCAAGCGGGGGCGGATACAGCTGTCGATGTCATTATTGGAGGCGCTAGAGGAGGCATTTATGTTTATCATGATGCTTTGACTCATGTCAGGGCTGTTGGGAAAGCCCAGCTTGTGAAAGATGGGATTCAAGTACAGAAGTATCACTGGCACCGTAAAGCTGTCCATGCAGTCAAGTGGTCAACAGACGGTACATAAATCCCTCCCTGATCGCAATTTGGGTTCGATTGCTAACTCGTTTCAGGAAACTATTTTATATCTGGAGGTTCCGAGAATGTTCTTGTTGTGTGGCAGGTTGACACGTCTAGAAAGGACTTCCTACCACACCTGTCTGGGAGCATTGAGAACATTGTGGTCTCGCAAACTGGCTCTTCCTACGTTCTCCATCTAGATGATAACTCAGCCATGATTTTATCTACTGCTGAAATGAAACCCACTGCTTACATTGCCGGAATCCAATCAGCAGCAATCGATGTGTCAGAACCGAAGGATTTACTTGTCCGACGCGTGTGGAACGTATCGGAACACGTACGACAACCGATCCCGGCTTCTATCAGACCTTCGGATCCCTCAAAACTCTACGTTTGTGTCAGCAATGGCCGCCAGGAGACTTTGTCAGGAAATCTCTCTATGCCGTTGTTGCAGTCTTTTGATTTGGAATCATTTACTAGTGTCTCGAAGCAAGCGCTGGCGCGAACACAACCCACAGATGTTAACCTCAGCAGCAAAGGACACCCAATTGATGAACCTGTCGTCACAAACATCAACTTCTCTGGAGATGGCAAGTGGCTCGCTAGCGTTGATGAGTGGAAACCTGCACCCAGAGATGTGGAAAACATCTCCCAAGACCTGAGGCATCAGTTTATGCGCGAGAGGCATGAGGTTTACCTAAAATTCTGGGAAGTTAGGGAAGGGGCCGAGTCATTAGAATTGGTGTCAAGAATCAACGCGCCTCATTCCACCACTTGCCCAGAATCAGTTCTAGACTTGGCGTCTGATCCTACATCAAGCTGCTTTGCAAGCATTGGATCTGATGGAGTCGTACGACTGTGGAGACCGAGGCATCGCCAGCAAAATGGGGTTGCGGTCAAGGACGCAAACGGCCGGGATGCTGTGTCTTGGGGCTGCACTCAAGCTATCGGTGTTGGTGACGGCACTGGAATCGAAAATGGCACGGACCTTATCAACCCGACGCGGCATATCGAGGTTCAGGGCAGAGTTGTCTTTTCAGAAGATGGCTCTACATTGTTTGCCGCTTTTGGGGCTGTTGATCCCGGGGTTGTATACGTTATTGACGTGGCCTCTGGGCAAATCGTCAAGACTCTTGAGGGGCTGTGGGATGGCAAGCTTCAATCTATCCAGGCCCTGGGCTCTTTCATTATCGTCTTATCCAGCGACTTGAGAGTGTATAACGTGGTTGCCGACGAGCTAGAATATGGCATCGTTGTCCCCAAACTTTACGGGGTTACCGAGCTGCATCAACTTGCCGTTGACCATACTTCGGGCCACTTCGCTGTCACTCTCCCTATCGGCGGTGTATCGAGCATTGGTGTCTTCGACCCGGAAGACCCAGAGCCTTTACTAGTTAGGAGCACGCCGCATAGGATTGTGAGCCTTGTGTCAGCACCGGGGGCAAGTGGTTTCATTGCTCTCGATGACGCAGCCCAGGTCTGGGTGATTGCCGAAGGCTCTGACCCGTCGTCCATTGCAACTCTTCAGCCGCTACATGATCTCCAACTAGATGGCCTCTCCGGGGCCGTCGATGCGGGCCCGACCACTGGAGAGGTACTGGCCACGGATGAAATGGACGTTGCTAGCGAAGATGATATGGCCGATGCAAAGGAAGTGGATGAGGATGTTGACATGGGTGACGACGACGACGACGACGACGATGCTTACGGCAGTGTGATACCTCAGCAGTTCTTGACGGAAATCTTCGATGCAACGCCCGCCTTTGCCGCGCCGTCTATCGAGGACATGTTCTACAAGGTGACAGGACTTTTGGCCACAAAGCCCCATGCCGAGCAGTGAGGGGGGGATCACTGGATGCAAGTTTCAAGATGTATATACAACGGCGGTAGATGTACACGGCGCATTTTTGGAAGAGCCAGCTTTGGGTATTACTACAGCAATACAACAGTGTAATTTGAACCGGGGGTCAATGCAAAGTGAGTTTTAAGGTTGCGTGAAGTGATACGATTTAGCCTACGAGAAACCGAACCGAACTCGGCATCGGCAGTCCATGCCTGCATGTGGCCCCAATCCGACAGCGGCGCCCAAAAAGTGGCACCTGGGGGACGCGGAACTCCACGGACCACGGACGACTTGGCGGGTCTCCCGGCCGTCTCTCAGAGGGGTCTGGTCGTCTGGTGCGATTACGCCATTCTTGGAGGGGCTTGGGGGACGTCAAGAGAGGGCGATCGAGTGTTGTGCATGCATGTGTTGAACTTGCTGCTCCATTGCTCTCGATCTACCTGTCTGGGTATAAAAAGGAGCCGGGAGGAATACAGGAACGTCAGAGTTGGACGATACCCATCTGTCGGGACCACGTCCAAAGCAGCATAGGCCACAATGTCATTTACTTCGATTCCCATTCTGGACCTGCAACTCGCCCGGGACCCGGCCACCAAGCCCGAGTTCCTGGAACAGCTGCGCTACGCTCTCCTAGAAGTGGGTTTCTTGTATCTCAAGAACGTAGGCATCCCAGAGGACCTCTTCCAAGATGTCATCAAGAAGGGCAAGGGGTTCTTTGACCTGCCTCTAGAAGAGAAGTACGTGCTCATCAATCGCCCCCAGCCTCCATACACAGAAACCCAGCTCAACAAAACACACCTCATCTGCTTCCCGTTCAAAAGCGCAGCCGCCGTGGCCCCGGGCTAACAAACTTGCCAGGCTCAAAATCGAGATGAAAAACGCAAACTCCTTCCTCGGGTACTCCCAGCTCTCTGCGGAAATCACCGCCGGCGAAATCGACCGCCGCGAGCAGATCGACTTGTCCACCGAGCACCCTGTCCCGTCGCCAGGCGCTCCTCTGTACCACAACCTCCTGGCGCCAAACCAGTGGCCGGCTGAAGACTACGCGCCCGGCTTCCGGGCCACGTACACGGACTACATGAAGCGCATGGGCGACGTCTCCCTCTACTTTACGTCTCTCATCGCCGAGGCCATCAAGCTCCCCGGCGACGCCTTCAACAAGTACTTTGACGAGGACCAGCAGCACAAGCTCAAGATCGTAAAGTACCCCGACATGGCGGAGCTGGGGCAAGAGGGCGGCCAAGGCCAGGGAGTCGGGCCACACAAGGACAGCATGCTGACGAGCTACCTGCTCCAGGCCACGTCCCACCGGGGCCTGCAGGTGCAAAACGTCCAGGGGGAGTGGATCGACTGCCCGCCGATTGACGGCACGCTGGTCGTGGCGATAGGGCAGGGGATGGAGGCGTTGACACAGGGCGTCTGCGTGAGCACCACGCATCGCGTGCTGTCGCCGGCTGCGGGGTCCGGGGCCAGGTACTCCATTCCCTTCTTCCAGGGGGTGAAGCTGGATGCCGAGTTTGACGACTTGGAGACGGTGGGTGTCGGGAGGGTGCCCGACGATGTGAGGGCGCAGAGGAGCAAGGTGATGGAGCGGACGGGCGGGAGGATTGACGACGTCGAGTTTACGTTTAGGGCGGGGGCCGTGGCCAAGACGTTGGGCGAGGCCGCGCTGAGGAACAGGGTCAAGAGCCATCCGGACGTTGGGGAGCGGTGGTATCCCGATATTCTGAGGGCCATCAGGGAGGAGCAGGCTGCGGCGGCGGCGGCGGCGGCGGCCAAGAAGGGTGCTGCCGGACCGGGGCCCGCTGCTGGTGTTGCTCCAAAGGCGGTTGAGGCTCATTGATCGCATGTGTAGAAGATGCAGAATGTCAATATCGTATAACAAATTCATCACGAATCGTCACGGTGTCTACAACTCAGTGCTACGTCCCGCTCCGTCCTCTCCATCCCCCCCCAATGCTGACGCCGGTGCTAAATGAATACTGTCAAGTCTAACTTTTCGCTCATGCCCTCTGGCCCCCCCAACTCCTACCCAACTTGTACAACGTTGACGCAAAAACTTGGGCTCAAGACCGCCCAACATGGGCGACTATAGGGTCTTTCCGGGGAAGCAGTCGCCAATGTCCTTACTATGCTTGTTGGTAGCATGTTCCTGCAGCCTGTGCATAAAGAAATGGAAAGATTAGTCCAACACTACTTGAAGGGTATAGGAATCAATACAACGTCGAAGGCAAGAGAGTGTGTCGGTACGTACGCAGGGCCCTTGGTGGTGGAGAGAAACGTGGCCTTGCAGATCTGGCATTGAATGTTCATGGCCTGCTGGTTCTAGAGGGAGGGAACACGGGGGTTAGCAAAGAGGCATGTTTACACTGCCAAGGCAACGAAAAGGCGTAATACAATGACATACAACTTTGAGCTGCGACTTGGCGACTTTGCCGTCCTTGGCGTTGCGCTCGCGCTTCTGTTGTGCCTTGGCTCCCTATGCGTCATGTGTTAGTACGCCTGCTGTTGGGGACCCGAAGCACTTGGGTATTTGTCATACGTTGCCCATTTTTGCGAGGATACCTTGGTAGGTAGAAGCGGAAGAAGTGTAGGAGTGCGAATCGGGTCTGGGACCAAATATGCCACGACTGCGCGGAGTATCGGGATTCGATGAGAAATTGAACAGGTACGACGAGGCTCTACGTCTAGTGTGGCGAGTACCAGCGAGGTCGGTGATAGGGTGGGAGATGGCGGGCTGGTGTGGAATTCTGGATTGCGTGCTTGATGAGATGGGCCAGCAGAATATAGTCGGATCGAGAAGTTGTCGACGAAATACGAAATAGAAATGCGCAGGAGGGAGAAGGGCCTGGGTGGGCGCAAGTGGGATGGAGATGGCTGCTAGCTGATAGGCGATAAGGCCAACATTGAAGGGACGTGGGAAAATTTGCTCCGCCCTTCCATGTCCGCCCTTTTCGGCCACCCATTGAGCTGCTGGTGCTCAAGTGCCACCTCCACACATCTGCATCACAGATTGACGGTCAAAGTCGACAGCCAGTACGGAGTACTGCTACAACAACTGGGGACTCCACGAATCCACCCGTGCCGTCGTCGGGTCTTCTCGTGAACCAGCAGTAGCGACACTTATCATTTTAATCCCGGCAGAGGGTTGCAGTGCATTACACTCTACCGGGCATCGTCATCCTCCGTCGCCCTACGGATATATTTTACGAGACCCATACCAAGGCTCCCTTTCTAGCGCCCCGTCAACGCAGCAGGTTTCATCTCCGGCATATTAGTCAACATGTATCTCCCTGGATGGTTTGTCAGTCATGAACATTATTTTTCCGTCTTGTCAGTTGTAGCCGGTGGAGCGCGGAGATCCGGGAGGAAGATCTACGGTTTGCAGAAATGAAGTCTTGGACCACTCCAAAGGGGTCGAGTACTCATGGCTCCCCCCTGCAAGGTATAAATCTGGGAGAATAAATTAACATTCTCATATTCTCTCGCCAAGTCTATGTCGCAATTATTGCTTCGCCACGAAGCTGGCCCAGTGAGATATGCTAATCACGGCAAGACTAAACCTTAAAGTATTGCCACACAGCATCGGGTTGATCCATCGTCTTGAGCCATCTCTACGAACATCTACTACATAGCGGATCCGATTCGGAGTGTGAGCCGTTGCAATCTCGCCGTTCTGTCACGAGGTCAAATCAGCCTGGCCGACTAGATGGAGGTAGACAATTTGACAACCATGCCATACCGAAATAGTAACTAGTTGTTCGTGAAACATGTCTCATGTCTCATGTCGCAGATCGATCAGGGGCATCAAGGCTGAACTAACTGGTGATGGAGCACGACATGGCGTTACATTGATGTAAAGAAATACCGGATCAGTCTGCACCTCGCTTTCCTTGCGTTCTCTCAGTTACACGGATTCTCAAGAATCGAGAACAAACCGCAATGTTTGAGAGATATATAGTGATACTTTTTGATGCGAATGACATGCCTAGAAATGGACAAGAACTCAACCTCGGGATAGACTTTATTATCAGCTCCCCAGGGAGGGGAACATTGTGGAATGTCTTCGCTTCGAGTTTGATCTGGAGACTATCATGTATTACGAAGAAAGAAAACCTCTGTACTCATGATTTTCCGTTAAAGACGCGCGGAGCTTGTGGTTCTGGCTAGCCCAACTGTTCTAGCACGCCGTAACAAATATGAGAATGACCCGAACACAGAATAAGTACACAAAGAACCACGGTCCCAACATCTTGTATTATATCCTCGTCGTTGCTTTTCCCGAGCGAATTTTTCACGTCAGGATATTCTGACCACGACAGATGACATGATTTTCTTGACGGCCGCCATCCCCAGCAATATCTAGTCAGCCTGGAAGAGGCATGCAAAACGCTACCTCCAAAGTTGCTGGTGCCGGTTCTAATTTCTGGCATGGCAACTTGGACCACTCTGGAAACGCCCGCGGTTACGCCCCGGATCTCGGGAATGATTACTCTTACGATATCTTTAAATCTGTGAATGCTGGCGATGGAGGAGCAATCTAAGATACTATTAACAGCAACAATGGCAAACAGCGACAGTCTAATTAGTTGGTGGGCTTCTCAGCCAAGAATGCGTACTTGGGAGTAGGGGAAGTACTCCTTACTAGGTTTGGATTCATGAGACTGATACAGTATACGACTTGGGTCGTATATCTCCCCCCGTGACACATGAGGTTGGCTCGCAAATTCAGCTTCACGTTGGAACTATTGTAATGGGAGATGCCACCAATTTAAGTTAATATTGTCACTGTGGTACAAACAATCTTTTCCGGCGGACTTCTCTGGACTTCTATCAGCTCCCTACTATCAAGGCGTCTAAAAGGTTGGCGAGGGGAGAAAACGCTCGCTAATGGTGCGTCTGTCTAAATCACTCAGCCGGGGAAATAGTCGACTGACACATTGATACTTGTTCTTACTAGTCTTAGATCCGCGCACTGAGGTGCCTGACGATGGCAAGCTGCATGGCGGGCTTTCATTTACAGTTGGCTTGAAGAAGGTGATTTTTGACACTACAACATCGATGAAAGTCAGTTTACTTAAATCTGGCAGCAGGCGCACCAGGAAATGGCCTATAAGAACATTGAGCTTTTCCAAAACACCCGTGGCATGTGTATTAGGGGAGGAAACGTCGTCACCATTACCGGCTCAACCCCCGATACCGTGTACGAGGCCGAATTGAGTCCGATGTACGGAAACTTGTAAAACGGCCTAATCCAGATCATGACCGATTCCCTTTATCCAATGAGTACATAGTCTTTCTCAGTGGCTTTTTGTTCCCAGGAAGTGCTCAGTGATCAAAGGCAGACACCAGGAGCATTCGCCAACATGGAACATGACCCTGTACGCATGATGATATCATCCATGCAAGCTGATTGTTAGCCTCACTCGTTGGCTTATATATACGATTCAATTTCTGTCTAGCGCTGCCATTAGAATAGCATCACGTTGCGTACAGACCTCCTACCTCGCATTTAGTCGCAAATTGTACGACATAAGAACTGCGCAACCGACGTCTACCGGTCCGTTCAGCCCTCTGCGTCTTTCTACGGGCACTGTCCACCCGTTCTATATCTATGGCACGGCGTTTCAAGAAGACCGAACTGGCGAGTTGAAGGCCTTGGCTCTCAAAAACGGCTTCAGGGGTGTCGACTCAGCCAACTATTCTTCCGCATATGAAGAGCCCTCCATCAGGGTTGCTATCGAAGAGGCATGAAAGTCGGGCGTCAAGAGGGAAGGCCTATTTGTGCTAGAGCACCAAAAGAAAAGCCCCTAGACCTCATGGAAGAAACATTGATAAATGGGGAAAATTACATCTTCATCCAGGTACAACCAAGTTTACTCCCATCTGGGCGCACGCCGAGTCGAAGCTTCCCTATAATGCCGATCAGCCTTTAGAGAATCAGGTGCACGAGTCAATCGAGCAATCCTTCCAGAACCTAAAACTCGGCTACATCGACGCACTTCTTCTACATGCCCCGTTCGAGGATGAACAGGATGACACGGTCGCCTGGCATGCCATGGAGAGCCTCGTCCCGCCGCGGGTTGGCGTGTTGGGCGTATCCAACTCTGGTCGTGCTGCTCTCGAGAAGCTTTACGCAGCTGCCAGCGTCAAGCCAAAAATTGCACAGAACCGATTCCAGGAGGAGAACGAATACGATGCCGACATTCGCGAGTACCTGGACAAGACGGGCATCGTCTACCAAGCATTCAGTCTGCTAAAGGCCAACCAAGAGATTCGCAGCTCGGAGCTGGTGGCTCGTGTCGCTGAGCGCTTCTACACCGAGAGGGAGATTGCTTTCTACATGCTAGTCCTGGGCTTAGGCAAGGTGTCTATTGTGAATGGAACCACGAGCGAGGCGCGGGAGATGGACCTGTCAAGATTGCAGAGCTTCTGGGAGACCAACAGGCCGCGTCTGGCCCTGACAGAGCACTTGGCAGAATTTAAGCAGCTTCTACGCACCAAGTAATATGTTATCAGACAGGGTAGAAGAGGTGGTTAGTTGTCAAGGGGTAGGGCTATTTCTGAATAACAATGCCACCTCTTGCCGCTGTGTAAGCTTACATGATTCTGCCATGCCTCGTGACAGGGTGTGTCTCATGAGATGAAAGAGATAAAACCTACAGAAATACCATGTGGCCGTGTATTTAAACCCCTCCAGCCCCTTGTCCGCCAAGTTCAGACTTGGTGAATCGTCACTGCACAAACACTTGATTCCTTTGTTCTGCTACTGGTAATTTTGCTTGTTTTAATTTATTAATAAGTATACGCTCTGGGGTGGAGAGAGTGTAAGAGGAGGAATAAGAAGAAGAAAGAGAGAGAGAGAGAGCACATGGTTAAAAGACTAGGCTGGTAAAACTTTGTTTTATTCATTACTAAAATCTTCAATTACTTATTAGCCTCGCTTATCCCTTTACTTTTTATATTTTTTTACTTTATTTTTACGCTTACCCTTTATAAAGGTACGTATTTGGGCAGTATTTAAACTCTGCTTCAAGAATCATGACACGCTCAATTTCCATTGACAAACAACGGCGGCCCTCCCCGAGCAACCGCCGTACCAGCTGGAGCGCGTGCTCGCAGCCTTGAGACTGGAAAGGGACTTTATTCTTAAGGGGTGGTCGAGGCCCGAGGGACAGGCAATGGTTCAAGACTAGCTTTTTGGCGCCGTTGTTTGCCGATGAGGCGGGCAACGTCGCGGCTTAGGCTGCTTTGGTTGTCGGAGCTTGGAAACCGGTCTCATCATCTCATGTCTCTCCCCGGCCCCGGCCCCCGGGAATAGCAGCCGCAACCTGCGAACCATGGGTCCACGGGCGTCCGCGCCAAGACGGCCTGGGCCGGATATTGTCGAATCGGAAGCTGCACCGGTCGGCAGACAGGGTGGAGGGCTTGTACACGGAACGGGTAAAACGCCATCGGGCGAATCCACATTGACGGCACTCGCCGCTGATCTTGTGAGACCTCGGGAGTTTCTTGTGATGCGAAGAAGAAATGGAAAGGGGGACGGCGAAAACGGCAGGCTCTCATATCAGGGCTACGACCGGAGAAACATGAGGAATGTTGGTCCATGGAGCAGAATCCAAGGAGTTTGCGGGAACGAGTTGGTAGTAGTACATGGGTTGTAGGCTTGTTTATAGGTGTGCAAAGAGCCAGGTTCTCGTCAGCCCTGGACCTTGAAGACTGGCTGGCATTTCGTCCCTTTGCATACCTTGATTTCGGCTATTGTATGGTTCGTAGAGGCATGTAGACAGCATGTCGACGGTACTTTCCAAATATTAGCGTATTATTTCCTCTAGGCGTGGTGGATAGTCTGGAGGTGGATTACCTGTTGAGTTTGTGGAAGCAATTTGCATAGCGGAAAATGATAATGTTTTGGGAGGCTTTTTAGGGCCTCAATTGATTGGTTTTTTTTTTTTTTTTTTTTTTTGATAATGATGATGATAATGATAGAATTGAGTTGGTGACTGAAGGATGCTGCAAATTTGACCCCTTTGATATCCGGTCCGGGGCTACTGCAAGCCCCTTAGGGCTCCTGAGTCCCTGACGATAACCCTCAATTTTAAACTCTTGTTTTTCCCAACTTCTGTCTCTTCGGGTTTCTCAGGCACGAGTCACACGTTTCCATGTGATAAAACTTCTCAATCTTGAAATCTAGACAGTCCAGAAAAACGTGGGTATCGGGGCACTTCTGGTCGTGGGGAGTCTTTTCCATGAGTTTCCTGACACCGCATATGTCGCATTGTGTGTAGTTGTAGGTTCTTTGGCACATGTTGATTGTCGCGGCGGCTGTTGGGATTCGAACCGTAGTGTATTCTCCTGATTGGAAATGTCGTCGTGGGATTGAGTCGCCGGGGTGCTTCAACGATCGAGGTGAGGGCTTGACGAACCGCCGGGGACTTGTGCAGAAAGGGCGGCAAGTGGGCTATTTATATTTGAAAAGCTATGAGTAAACCAGACTGGTCACCGAATCGTGGGCTGTTCAGCTGGTGGTCTCTTTGTGAACAAAGGACATGTCGCAGTCTTCACACGTGTCCTCGAAGAGATGAGCGGAACTTGGTTGGTCCGACTGTGAATACAAAGCGGGCATGTTCTCAGGATGAGCAGTGATTGCAGCGGTTTAAAGAATGCTCACAAGTCAGGTGTTGGATACAACGTCAATTTTACCACATGCATACTCGATCCGTCACAATCAGGGACGCTAGACACAACAAGAAGAACCAGCATCTCTGTAAACGAATGACATTACTAAAACCCAAGGGGAAAAACGAAACAATCCAACTAAAAAAACAAGAAACACTCGTTCTGGACTGACAACATGGCCCAAAATCAACAAATAACATCCCTCAACAAAACAATAACACACTCAAGTCCAAAAAGTCCAAATCAAAAACCATGTGCCAGCACGCCCGTTCACCCATCCGAGTATCCATCACCATCTTTCCCTTCTGTCAGTCATTCCTCACCGAACCGTCTGGCTCCTCAAGAGTTTGCGTACAGCGTCGTGCCCCAACCATGATTTCCTTTGTCTGTCGCATAGCCCTTGCGCGTTTTTGCCGCTTCGTGGCAGTTGAAGCAAAATGTCATGGTGTGTTGTCGTTTGAGTCGTGGGTCTGTATATATGACGTTTGCTCAACAGCAAGACGTCCAACAGCTTGAGTAGGACTGTGGGTGTCTGTATATGGTTGGGAAATGGAGGATAGAATTAGTCCACCACATTGTAGGTGCCATCGTCCACGATCATATTCGCCTCGCAATCCGTACAAGTCATCGTGATCCATTTCACAACTTGTTTGTACTCTGGGCACTCTTGAAACGGGCATTTTTTTCTGTACGCTGGCCTGCAGTAAACAGTCTTGCGACACTCCAGCGGGGGGATAACTTTGCGGCAGTAGTTGCACCAATAACGGGAGAATTCGTCCTCACACATGGTTGTTTCTTGTTAGCAGTGGTTGTAGTGGGAGAAATAGAATCGGGCTTTAGTGGAGTATGATATCGTGCTGTAGTAGTGTATGATGTTGGGTTGTAAATGTGACTTTGGTCGATAGCAGGGCTTTCCCGAGAGGTCGGGTAGGGGGGAAGGGTGTCTTTATATAGCCAGGAGATGAAGAGAAGAAGGGGAGAAGAAGGGGCCGCTTGTCGAGATGCACACTAGAGGCCATTGAAGCTGCTACTGTTCCTATTACACCGCTAGCTGACGACGCGTCCCTGGAATAAAGACCCGATTATCTCAGTACACCAGCTGTTCAGTTGTCTATCTGTAGCAGTTTTTCTGGTGTTTCAGGGGCAGAGCTGGGGTTGAAGTGAGGAGGATTCATTGCGCTGTCCAGCCACAATGACTGCCTGGATACAAACGCAAGGACATCTTGGCCATTCTCCCATTGCGGGAACAAAGATGGTCATAGCCAGCGACCTCTGAAACACCTTTGTTGGTCTGTGACGCTGTGATTCCATTCAACATTGCGAGTCCATGATGTGTGAAGACGAGGTGTCGTCGATGCATTGTGGATACAAAGTAGCCGCCACACTTTTTTCGTGCGCCAGTGACTTGTTCATGCAGCTCATCGAGGCGCGCGGCGCCATTGGTCATCCCAGTCCGGCGCATGAGCGAACCACGAGAGTCGAGACATACATACATATCCGCGGCATGAGCAACTTCAAAATAGAAATAATAATCCAGCTGACCTATTCTCTCGTCCCCGTTACGCACGGATGCAGCGCCGTCAGCAATCGGCAAAACACAATCCAAGCGCTGACAGCTCACTTTCCCCAAGCCGCCTGAAGACTGAACAGTGGACACACAGCTTCACCATCTCGAGATTCACCACCCACAACAGCCCATCGCAGCAATGTCGCCCTCTGCAGAAACAATATCCAGGCCCGAATTTGACGCCCTCCTAGCCGAATACCCGGCCTTGATAGACGCCATGTCCACAGCCAAAAGCAGCACGTACCTGCCCAGCCCGCACGCCCGCCCAGCCAGCTAACCAACACCTCACCACCAGCTCAAAAACCCGGCCAAAAGACCCTCAAAGACCTAGACGCCTACCGCTACGACAAGGCGCCCGTCCTGTTCGGCAAGAAAGGCCAGGAAATGACGCTCGCAGACGTCCAAAGCCTCGTTGAGTGGAAACTGTCTGTGGTCCCGCGCCTTGTCCTGTCCACGTCTTGCTTCACATCTTGCTCACACCATCCATCTTCACATCCCAACTGCCTGCGTCTTCACATCTTGCGCACATCATCCATCTTCACATCCCAACTGCCTGCGTCTTCACATCTTGCGCACATCATCCATCTTCACATCCCAACTGCCTACGTCTTCACATCTCGCTCACATCATCCATCTTCACGCCTCGCCGTCCCTCCAAACCAACTAACCACCTTCCTCCCCCCAGACGCCACGGAAAATTCCGCCCAACCCTCATGTCCCTCGTCTCCTCCAACCCGGCCCCCCTCGCCCAGCAGACCATATCATCCGCCGTCGCGCAGTACAGGACCAGCCCGTCGACGCACGCCCAAGCGGCCCTCGACGCGCTCACCAAGCTCAGGGGCGTGGGCCCCGCCACCGCGTCCCTCCTGCTCAACGTCCACGACCCCGAAAACGTGGTCTTCTTCTCCGACGAGGCGTACTACTGGCTCTGCCGCGGCGGGAACAAGGACGCGCCCATCAGGTACACGCCCAGCGAGTACGCGCAGCTGCGCCAGCGCGCGGGCGAGCTAGCGCGCAGGCTGGGCGTCGGCATGGTCGACGTGGAAAAGGTCGCGTACGTGGTGGTAAAGGGCAAGTCGGGGACAGACACCCAAGGGCTCATGGGCGCCGGCAAAACTGGGAAGAGGGTCGCCGCCGCCGCTGCACGCAAGGACAAGAAGAAAGCCGGCGGCAAGGACGCCGCGGAGACGAAGCAGAGCGCGCCTAAACGACGGACAGACGGCGGCGGCGATGAGACGGGGTTGCGGCGATCAAAGAGGCACAGGGCCTGAGGCCTGAGTGACGGTGATTATATTGCCATGGTCGACGTGTGCTGGGTTTAGCAACGGGAGTGTAGGTGTACATGTAGCTTGTCAATTTCGGTTAGTTGCGAAGCGTGAAATGAGCCTTTCTGTATTACTCGTAAACAAATCACGTCCATGCGCCGCTTCTGCATCACACAACGTGTGCGAAATTCAAGTAGGTTGGACTTGGACAGCACTTCGGGACAGGCTTGTTACGAGACCGTAAACAACAAGCAAAGTAGCAGTAAAATTATCAATAAATTGACGCCGCATCTTTTTTTTTCGTCCGCATCACACCAGCCTCGTATTCCCTCCACCCCGGCACAACTTCACCATTCACACTGGGCCCAAACATGATGACCAACCCCTCCCTCCCCTTTTCTCCTCCCTCTTTGCAGTTGACAACCCCGTCACTCATCATTTATTTCCCCTTCTTCCCCTCGTCAACCTGCGTAGCCGCGTACTTGTCGCTCAGCTCGTCATAGCTCCTGTGCAGCCCCTCACTCTGCTTCTTGAGCGTCTGCAAATCCTGCTCCTTCATGGCCAGCCGCTTCTGCAGCTCGGCAACCTCGCTCGACTTGTTCTCCTTGTAGTTCTTGTTGCTCTCAAACGCCTGGACCTTGTCCTCCAGCTTGATGTTGTCAATGATCATGACGTAGGTGCGGTTCAAGATGAGCGACAGGAACAGGGTGAAGCCGCAGAGGTACATGTTTCGCTGGGAGTAGAATTTACGCGCCTGGACTTCGAGGCGTTCGTGGCCCAGAATAGCACTGTTTGCGGAGTCACGTTAGCCCGTTTGTTTGGTTTGCAAAGCGGTTATGCGCTCATCAGCTGAACCCCCCTCTCGAGGTGTGTCAAAAAGTCAAGCAACGTGGTATACGTACGCTCCCTTGGACGCCTGTTCTCCCGCGGCGACCACTTCCAGTTGCACGCGGTACACGCGGTTCACGCTGTCGATGAACAGGATGAGGATGAAGACAAAGGTGATTTTGAGCCAGTACATGACCTTGGAGATGATGGGGTTTTCGGAGATGAAGCTGCGGGCGAGGTCAGTGGATGCTCTGCAATTTCAGGTGGAACAAACGTACGTAAAGACCTTGCGCTTGGCCGTGTGCGGGAGAGGGATGAGAAGGAGCATAAAGAGCACCATCTCCAGGACGAGGAGGAAGAAGACCTATCCGCGTGTCAGCTGGAGCCAAGAATGCGTGGGCGGCGACGTCGGACGTACGAGAGAGTAGTAGAGCGTCATGGTGGGCGTGTTATCTGCTGCGATTCTGGGGCGTAATGGGGGCACTCAGGTGCGAGCAGGCAGGCAGGCAAGAGACGGGATTGAAGAAGAATTGCAATAGAGGTGGTGTCTGCAGTTCGCGGGTATTTATGGCGTCGGAATGACGAGAAGGCTGTGAAGTGGCCAGTTTGCCGCCGGATGGAGGAGCAAGGTCAAGCAGGCGCTTGCCGTGGGTGATGGTGGAGGTGCGGCCTGGACATGGAACTAGCTAGACATGTGCCAGGGACAACGTCATCGCCTCGTTGCTGGGGCCAATGGATGGCCGGGGGAATCGGACAGAAGCCACAGAACCTGGCAACCTGCATGTGCATGTGGGTTCAATGTTCAATCAATTGATGTTTTGCTGGCCCGAGGACCCACTGGAGCTTCAGCTCGGTCCGCCCCAATTGCCCAGGTTATACCTTCAATGTTCATGTTGAAACATGGTGACAAGGCAAAGTTTTGCTTCCATGATCACGGTGGCTGAGGCTATCGCGAGATTGCCTTGGCTAGCGGGCCGCGGCGCGGCACCAATTACGCTGGTACATTTAACCCTTCACGATGCTTAAACAGTCTACTTTTTGGCCTGGTACAGCCTAATACTGTGTTATTAGATGTTACGCTGACATGACACTCGCATCATGCTTGTAATATGTATCACTCTGACTACAGAGCGAAACAATTCACACTTTAATAACAACACACTCCCACCATTGCATCAACCGCCACATCAAGTCTTGTAGACTTGTTTTTTATTTTCACATCGACTCCTCGCACAATTACCTAGCTTTCAGATAAAATGTCTTCTTCATCATGGTACAAATGCGCCACGTCGCCTCCCAGCCACCAACTGCCAATGTACAAAACGCCGCCCGTCCTTCCATGAACCCGGTTCCGTAGCTCAGTTCCAAATGTCATCATCTCTAAACTTGGCTGGCGGCCGTCTGGTCCTCGACGCTCTATCGCTTCGCTGCCGAATCACCACGTCTTGATCGTCGTCGTCTTCCCGCGCCGCACTCACATCCGTCGTCTTCGCTCCACTGCTCCTCAACGCCGCGGTTGACATGTTATCCTCGCTATCCGCAATCTCCATGTCCATCTTTTCTGAATTCCTGGTGATCCGCTTTGGTTCCGGTGTATTCGCATGCCTCAACGATACCGGAGCTGATACGGACACGGATGCGGATGCCGGTGTTGCATCATCCTCTGCGCCTGGACTGGGAGCAGCATCGCCAGCTACAGTCGATCCATCGTCACCCCTGGACTGCGAGGCTGCTGCTGGCTTAGGCACTGGTCGTGGGTGTTTTCTGGGCCTTCCACTACCTGGCCGTGCTCCGCCTCTCTTGCCTCGTGTCTTTTTCGGCGGCTCAGTCCGCTTTGTTGGTGTTTCCGTGCTCGTCCGGGCCCTTCTGCGTAATCTTGATGCCGAACCTGGGTCCTCCGACTCGCGTCCGCCTCTGCCTCCGTCCCCATTCGCTGTTTTCACGGAGACTACCCCGTCATAGTCGTCCTCGTCGCTATCATCTTGCAGTCGCCGCTTGCGTTTGCGTGATTGAGGCCCCGGCGCCGTGTCCGTATCCACTGCCTCAAGCGCGAAGCCAGGAGGTAAGTCTCGCTTCACTCGCGGTCGGCCCGGCCGTCGCTTGGTGTCATCAGCCTTTGTGGCCTTGCGGGCAATCGTCTCAGGATTCTCGGGTCGGCGCGATTTTGCCGCTTTGCTTTTCGTTTCTGGCTTGCCTGCCGCCTTGTGGTCTAACAGCTTCTTCGTCAGATTGGGGAAGTTCTCGCCGTAGTTGAAGAACAGCTCCTCTCCTGCCTCGATGTCTCTCATGGCGGTAAACTTGATCCGATACTCCCCGTTCACGTAAAGAATCCGCGGCGTAATATTGCACCCCCGGTTGTCATGTTCTGACGCGTGGTTAATGTAGCGACTCAAGTTGCCGTATATCGCGGCGTCAACCCAGATGCCTTCGTTTTCTAGAAGCGTAAAGACATACGACACATTGGACTCCTCGTCAAACACATCGCCTCGGCGGGCCTCACGTCGTACGCCTTCATCATGTGTAATCAGCTCGCCAACGTACTCAATGATGAACTCATCCTGAGCAATGTCCTCCGCCGTAAACAGACCATACCCAACGCCATCAAGCTGGCTTCGGCCCAACAGCAGCGATTTTCCAACCCCCCTCTGCAAATCGCAGTTTTGGCAACCAGTTGCATGAAGTTCCGCGTCATCCGCGTTGAGAGGGTCAGCACGCTCCAGGGCACCACAGGAGCCACACAGTTGAGGATCGCATTCACGATTCAACTGCACACATATACAGGGCTTGTCCTTCTTGCTATCTAAACAGGTCTTGCCTTGGGAATGGCAAGCACACCCAGTAAATTTGTATGCGCAATTTTCCACCGTGCACCCGCAAAACTTTTCGCAAAGGACATTGGCATCTACACAGGTACACACTCCTGGCACACATGGGCCTTCGTGAGAACAGGGTTCCAGATTTTCCCGACGTTGGTGGGCATGGCTAGTTGTGTGATCTTGCCAGTCTCCCAACAAGGCCTTTCGTCGTCGGTCGTACCATGACAGATTCTTTATCCTCGGTGCTTCGGGAGGTTCCGGTTGAGGCAGCGAGATGCCCATTGATTTGAACTCGGTGTACACTTCATCGCAATGCCGGTTCAAAAATTCAGCCGCCAGACAGATAGGGTCCCCCATGTAGGTGCTGTGGCTGGCGGTTGTAAAAATTGATCGTAGAACGATTCTCTCATCTTCTAGCCACGGGCGAGGATGTAAATGCATGCGTACATGGTCACCAGCTCTCTGGTAACACTGTCGCCGACACGGTTTGATGGGCGACGCACGGTCACGTTCCATGCCGTTGCGTCTCCGCTTCAGGGCGTCAGAGAGGTGTGAGCATGATGATATGGAAAATGTGCGCTTCATATTTTTGTTGTCGTACTCGCCATGGTCACATGAATGACTGAAACATATTAGGCAGCCCAAAATGCAATACGTAGCCAAGTTGGACTCGGCCAACTCGTCCTCATCCTCGTCGTGGAGCTGTGGGCTGGTGGCGTCCTTTGCAATCGGCTTCGAATCCATGATGTTGTCCACAGCCTCATCCATCATCAACACTCTTCGGAGCTCTATTTGTTTTGATGCCGGCTGTGTGTTTTTAAATACCTGATGAAAGGCATCGGTGAACATTTGCGCTGCCTTGTTGGCACCCGGAACGACATTTTCAATTTTGCGGTGAGAATTCAAAATGTCAGACTTTTGCTGAGGTGTGATGGCGTAATCCGGTTCTCGGGCGGCCATGTAGCTGATCAATGCCGACTTGTCGCAGCCAGGGATGGCCATGTTTTCTAGCCAAGTATCCAAATACAGCGACACAGTTGCGGCCCTCTCGCCCTGGATAGTCAGCTGCTGCTTGTCCTCACGGTTCATAGGTTTGAACCCAGACTTGAGGTCAATGTCCTCCAGCTCCTTGAGCCAAAGATTATACTTGGTTTCTTCAGAACTTTCCAAGTCTCGCAGATGTGGCACAAATGTCAGCATTGTGTTGGGAGTGAGGACGTTCTTTTTGATTTCGACGTGGTGGAATCGGTAAGGCGGGACACGGTCCTTGTTCGTTTTGGTGCATGTCGGGGTATAGTGTCCTTCTCGCTGGTCTCGCTTTCCCTTGAGATGTTGCTATGACGGGGTAGGTCAGTACACGTCCGCCCGAGGATGACAGGCAAAAAAATACGAGGCCTGTTACCTTGGATTTGATTCGCATGGTGGTGCTTTTCTTCTCCGTAAGAACAGGAGTGCGAACATTTGCAAAAAGGTCGCGTCCATGGCGAATCCTGCGTTCAGTAACCTTGGTAGACTCCAAGATGTACCCGGTGAGCTTCGCATGGCCTTCTTTGACATCTTGTCGGCAGGTGTTGAGCTGGCTTATGATTTTTGGTATCGTCCAATCTGCAATGGAGTCTGTTTGGGCCTTTGGGGTCGTGCCATTGATGGCAGGCGCTTCTGATGAGAGATGCGACGACGGCGGCGGCGGCAGGGGGGGTGTGGTATGTCGCGCCATGCTCAAGGCAGTCTCTGAGAAATCATCACCCAAAGAGTTGTCACACACGCCGTTCAAGGCCGAAGACACTGAGTCACGTCCAAACGACGTCGGAAGAGGTTGTGTGCGATGAGAATGGCCTGGGGCCGCGTCGGGCTGTCGTCGTAGTGGCGGCGGGCTGATCGCGGCTCTGCCGAAGTTCGATTGGCGGTGACTCGGTCTTCGATTGCCAAAGGCTTCGAGACGGGACGAAAGGGCTGCTGCGGCTCCCACAAATTCGGGACGATCCGACTCCAGTGGCAGTTGTCCATTGATGTCGCGAAGAATGTGCATATCCGACCAGCCCGTGGTTGACATGTCGGCCAGCGTAGGATTTGGCGCCGGCGATGACTAAAGATGTCGCGGCAACTGCTGGTGTGTGCCTGCCCGTTTAGACCAGCGCTTTGTTTCAAGCACCAGAAGACGGAATTCCTGCCAAGGGGAAGCACACCGTTGGTTCAGCACGTCCAAGTACGGCGCCGACGACCCCATGCCATCAACGACAGAGCCGGCCAACCCTGACGCGCCGCGACTCGCAAGACCCTCGGCAAGTCCCTCGCAGAGATAACGGCATGCGAGGCTGCTCGTGCCAGGTCTGCAGCAACAGGCCAATTGCCAACCAAAGACAAAGGGCTGGTCTCCTGGTTGAGATCCGTACGACGTGTGGCTACAGTGATGGTGACGGACACGCGAATCGTGACGAAGATCGCGTCAACTTTTTCTCCAGGAGCTCCGTAGGCAATGCGCTGAGACGGGGATTGAACCAAAGAGGCTTGACCAGGCTGGAGCAGGCCGGACAGGGGCCCAAAATTGACGCGCGCGCGGTTTTGGCACGGAGGAAAGTACGTACTGTAATAAAGAATGCCGGTAACGTGGCCTATCAGAGCA